CCCCAATGACAGATCCCCCACTTATTGTGTCTGTATTTGATAAATTGGACAATTTCCAAAAGCCGCACTGATTGCAAATAATTCTGAATACTGGGATAAATGGAACATGCAACGCTATCGAGTTGATTGCGTGGCTGCGCTCTCGAGACGGGCGCTGCAGGAGTGTCAGCTGCAGGCTCTTACTCAGTCGTGTGTGTTTGTGTTTGTGTGTAATGTGGAGGTGACGAGTGAAAAGGACAAATCAGCAGGATATATTTGCTCCTCAATATGTAATTCCTTAATAACAACACAGGAGCAGCTCTGGATAAGTGCAATTCTATGCGCATCTGTTCCTTATGATACTTGTGACGGCTGACACACTCTTGAACTCTTACAAGTGCTGTCTCTAACAGACCCAGCCTGGTATGAAGCCAAGGGGAATAAACATCACATTCATAATTTCTATCTCTGCTTTTTACTTATAAGGAAGATCCATGTAGGCTTGTCTTCAACTCGTGGCCTACAGTACCGCCCCGATTGCGCCCGGTTCAAGTCTGCATCGGTTGGTGGTGCGCTAAGCTGAGTGCCTAATTATTGAGATCTTGACACTTCCTCCCCGTGTCGAACATTAATCCATCATTGTAACTATGCATTAGTGTCTACGGGAGCGGGCGCCCAGAGCAAATTTAGAGAGCAGGAGAGTGGTGAGGAACTGGAGCCTTCTATCAAGAGATGCAATGAGTAGGGGAGAGTGTCAGGGAGGGATGCCAGCCAGGACTTTTTTTTTTTTTTTTTTTTGCTACTTGGAGTCAAATATAGTCTGGTGTCTATTTTCTGTGAAACCTGAGAGACTCTGAAGTTAACTCTATTCTCAGAGCCGCTGTCAAATGCATTATGGGGAAATAGTTTTTATTAACGTGTTCCTGAGAGGGAATTCCTCTGAACCGATTTTTCAAATATGTTATTCAGCACTTTGCCTGGGAGGAAGACCGGCGTCAGTTTTCAGTTCAGTTTTTTTGCTCAAGGTTTGCACCATGTTACACTGCTGGCTGGGTAAATTAATAAAACCTTTAATATCAGTACAATTATTTATGCACAATGTTTTAAACAACTAGACTTTGATTGTTCTCCACAATAAAATATGCACCATAATAAACAATTTCAATGTTTTATTTAAAAAAATCCAAAGATGGATTTTACACTTTTTATCAATGCCTTGTCATGTTCATGTTCTCTCAACTTGGCACAGATGTTACAATCAAAACCAGCTATTTAAGAGATCAACTTAATTCGATCAAATTTAAGAATTTTGTCATTTTTCAAACAATCAAACCCTGACAAATAACGTCTCTTTTGTCTGAAGTACATTTGATTTTCCTTGACTTGAGATGAAGAACGTACGAGTCATGTTAAATAGGAAAGGAGAAGAACTGCAATGTCAGAAAGAAAGTCAAGCTTTAGTGAACACTTTTATCATCGCATTAGTCATACAGTCTAAGGTGAAAGCCCTTCTACTGTGGACTCATTCAAGTAAATATCTGCGGCGGGACCAAGTACCTCTGTTGAGTGATGCGGAGCTGTTGATGTCACCGGTCATGAAAGAAGACTCGGACTGTTTCCTGACCGTGTCATTCCACATTCGGCGGATGCGGCTCTGCGGAAGAAACAACATGTCAGAACTCATCGGAGTATGAACTCTGAACAATGCCAGCAACAAAAGTGAAAGAACACAGATGGAAGAAGTTCAAATCAACCAGACATAAAAATGCTATTTTTAGAGTATTTCTAAAGTATTCTCTCGGACTCACCTCCGTTTTGAATACAATACATCCTCAGATAGAAACATAGGCTGTCAAGCCACTAATCCAGAATCCAAACCACAAAACACTTCCGCTGAGGGGATAAGTAACCTCCAATTAAAGATGAGCACTAGGACTTGTGTAGGTGAAGACAGTAATAAAGCCATCAGACATGCTCTTGGAATCAGTGTCTCCAGTTGCAAAAAGGCTCAATCCAAGAGGGTTCATCCTGGTTAATTATGATAGAGTCCCATGGGCTGTTGCACAAGCTAAGGGTCTGGATATTCAACCACAGAGCTGAGTATCCTGTGCCAGAGGGGCTTGGCAGAGGATTCTGATTAATATAAAACCCGTTTAGTGGCAGAAGAAATAAAATGAACGACATGTTCCTTTTCCCTCCTAAACGGATAGCTCCAGTTTAGTTTGAGCTAAATCTTGTTTGAGCTTGCCTGCTAACATACAACACACAGGGTGTACTTTGTGTTGAGAATGCATGGAGAATAGAGGTGAGTGATGAGACATGAAATTTACAACATGGTATTTGTTTTGCTCCTTGTGGTACAAAATGGAATTATTTCAATAATTTCACAGAACCTGAATTAATGCTTCCGTTGTAATACCCATTATGGACGACATTCTTCATGTTTATTTCCACACATAAATCTCAGTTGTCATATATATATATTTTTTTTAATGCCCACGCACTGAATCTGTACTGCACCCTCAGACTGTATGTCATTTTTGGCCCTTCAGCGTCAACCCCAGGTGACAAACAAGCTCAAATATTCAAACATACACTGTCACAGCACATCTCATTAGCATACTGTATGTCATGTTATCCCCAGCATTGGAGACACAGATGGGATGAAAATGACACTGCTGTTTTCTGGACGTGGTAAAAAAATAAAAATAAAAAAAATCTCGAAAAACCGCTCGTCGCCAGCGGGTTGGAATGTACTCTGGTGATTACACATTCACTCCAAGTTAGCGATAAACAACCACGTCTTTCCAAGAGTGTTTCCATTCCTGTCTCGCTCATATGGAGTGACTGAGCACGAGGTTAGAGCGGTCTTGTCAAAGCACTGTGTATAATTAAACGCTTTGATCTGTATGCAGAAAACCGCCGTGTATCGTGGGTTGTCACTGCATGCTTCGACTCAAAGGACTATTTATAATTGAACACTGGAAGCAAATCACTCTCTCTTCGGAATGAATTGATGTGATGTTCAATTATAGTGTATCATGGCAATTCATCCTATACTTCATGTCAATGTGGGAGGAATGCATTACCAATTTACTTTTCAAGGAGACTTACCACACAGGCACAGTATTGGCAGATTTTTTGGTAGAGACAATTAAATCTGCATTTGTGAGCACTTCCTCACAATGCCGGAGCCCAAAGTTGGGTGAGTGTGCAGCATGCTCCAGTGAAAATGAATGGCTGTATGTTAAGCTCTACAGGCACTACATTATCCTGCTATCACTTCCAAACATATGGTGCACTTTCTTGGAATCCCTCACGGAGACCTAAACAGTCAGCTTGTCCCCATTTCTTTTGTTACCAGGTGCATTTTTGTGTCATGTCAACTTGTGTTGTGTCTTGTTGTCTCAGCTTCTAGCAATGCACATGAACTACTCGAAGATCAAACATAGCCATAGCCTAAAGTCAAAAGGCATTTATCTGTTTACGTTTGCAAAGGGAGATGCAGTCAAAGTGCATTAGATCAGGAATGTACAAAAAAAATAAATCAAGAAGAAAGCATGAAAAGTGTCCAACAACCTGTGAGCCTGTAGAGTATCGTCCTGGTGCACGGGAGGCGGTGCCTTTTCCCGAGCCGATGGAGCTGTCCACACTTTTGCCACTGCAGCAGTGAGTACGGAGGCATTTTCCGTACTCTTTACGGACCTTTGAAATAAAAGCGCATAAAAGGGGTCAGCAAGCGCACATGCATTATAGCAAATAGACCAAATCCAAGGATAATCTCGGTGCATTTCATGACATGAAATGTGGCTTGAAATAGCAAAAAAATCGAAGAATGTCTTTAAGCAGCAACAAAAATCAGAGTAAAGATAAACTTTCACAACAGTTGGACACCTGGATTTCAATATTTCAAATAATGACATCTTCCTGTACACTATGGGGCATGTGACACTCGGCTTTATGAAGTCTTTTTAAGAACGTTTGTATCGTCTGAATTAGAGCAACCAGCAGAAGCCATCCACGTCATAGTTACAAGTTGGTAAACACATGCAACACTAACTTAGAAAAAACATGAATACAATGCTCCAAAATGGCTGAGTAGCCTTACCTAGTGCTCTGATTTTACAGAAGTAAACCCCCTCAGGTGATCTACAATACCAGCTCAAATCAAGTAAGACCATAATGGCCTGCACTTAACTCCTGGGTGACTGAACACCAGCAGACATCAGCAATCATCCCCAGCAGTTAATGATCACTTTGTTACCACTGGATGCAAACATCTGAGCTGCTGCTGTCTGGGTGTTCCTTTGTTTAGTTTGCGTAATTAATTTCTATATAAATGTCCAAGAAACTAAAATGATATCATATTATAAAATATTTCAGATTTGGAGTGCAAAAGATTTCCAGTCCTTTGCATGCATAAGAGTGAGCCATAGTGTTTTGTGTTGACAGTAGCTTTAAATGATGTGTGCTAATGTCTGACACGAACAACACAACTATACCTTCTTCTGCAGCACACAGTGGAAGATGAAGATGAACATTCCCTGCAGGGAGTTGAAGATGGTGAACAGGTAGGCCATGACCACCGTGCTCTCGTTGACATACATGAGACCGAAGGCCCAGGTCAGGCCCAGCAGGCATAGCAGGGCTATGGCCCCAATCACCCATGATCTGGAACACACACACAAACAACTGTCTTAGAAAGCAGCCGACAAAGTTATTAGACTTCAAAAAAAGAAGTACTTTAAAGCAGCTTTTGACCTGAGAAGAAAGCATATATATACGTCAAAACAATACCTTTGAAAATACAAAGAGGAAATATTTAACACGTCAAAATATCCTAAGCAATCAGTGCAAGGAATTATCTAGTCCAGTGCTGAAATAGGTTTTCCTCTGAGAGGGGAAAGAGTCACAAAACAAATGAAAAGAGAAAAAGGAATGATTATGGATTTAATCTTCATTTTCTGATTCCTCGCTTGTCTTAGTTACCGCTTCCTTCCTTTTTTTTTGAAGTCTTTCAAGCGATGCCTCTTTTTGAAGTCATAAATTATCATAAGCACACCTCCGTATATAAGGTGACGGAGGTGTGTGTAAATTGAGGAGGAACAAATATGGCGTTTTCATGAGAGACGTATTTACATGACTGCATTGCGTTTGGCTTCCAGTGCCTGAAGATTGGGGAAAGTGTTGTATAAATTCTTATTCGAGCTGAGAGGTTGAATGAAGATAAATGCGCCTGAGAATGCAGAGTCTATTAAGAATGACGGGCTCGGTCTTCATTGCAGGAACACCGCACGGACAAGTGGCATTTTTTTCTTCACCTGCACCCTCTTTTGGTATTTTGGTGACTCCCTCTGTGTAGCAGAATCCGAGGTGGAGTCGAGATTAATATCTGGTTTCTTGCCAGCATCTGTCATCTACAAAAGCCTGCATGTGTGAAAACCTTCCCTTTGAGTCCATTAAATGCTTCAAGGGCCGTCTGAAGAAAGCACTTCTATCTCTTTTCTGTGGGCCTCTAATTTGAGTGGCACGCATTGTCAAAGTACAATTTCACCTGTCACAATATTAGTGACCTTAATGAAGTATTGTGCAAACATCTGACTGTTTAAAACACTCTTCTTTGATCCATTCCAGTTTTATCCCTTTCATTTTTTTTTACAGGTTAACCTGCAACTGTGACGACAAGAGTCACAGGAAAGCTAAGCATTATTTCATGTTGCATTTTGGTCTTAACCTGATAAAGGCCTTCAGAAGTTGGGTTCCTCTTCTTTCTGTGTAGTGGACGACACTTCTGTGAAACTTATTCTGTAGTTAGTTGAAATACTGAAATCACAAAGCTTGTATGAGGCATTTAAAGAAGGAAAATATGAGATCCCCCCTCTTAGTGGCATATTTGAGTTGCTGTATATCATCACCTATAGAACATTGGGTTTATTGAGATGCTAACTTATTACAGTTTTACCACTTTCCTTTTAAGGGTCTAGACAACATGATGTGAGCTACACCAATGTTTTTTTTCTGAGCCATACCATCACATAGGTCAATCTTCCTTCACTGGAAAGGTCATTGCCATTTTCCATCTGTGTTGACTTTAGCTATTTTTTTAAACAGGAAGTCATTGCTGTTATTTGTAATACTAAGGAAGAAATTATTATGTGAGGTTGAACTATTTGAACATTTGAACATTAGCAGTGTAATCATTACTTAAATGTAATCCGTTTCATATTCTTGCGATCTTTTCATGCACACTCAATGGCAGCATAATGTTTCCAGGTGTTAAAGCTTTTCATTACTCTACAGTCTTTTTCCTGGCTGGGAATCTTTGCACTACACTAACATTCATAAAGTGAGTGCGCTGGTGTGAAGATTGCTGTATCTACATTAAAGCACTTAGATTTCTTTACAGTGCACTTTGAAGATACAGGTCGGTGCGATTGAAAACCTATCTAACTTGTCACATCTGTCGGGCTATGTATATGCAAGACGAGAGTGCTGTGAGCACATTAGTGTTCTGTGTCAGTCTTCAACTTGACTGAGCACTTTACTATAAATCATTTCAATGCTTCAGAGGGGATGGTAGGTGGACTGGGTTGCTGATTGGTTCATATGGGGGAGTGATGATAGATGGCATTGTTGGGGAAAAGGGGCCTTTCTTGTTTTGCCTTACTTGATCTCTGGTTCATAATCCTGATAGCTGAGCAACGTGAACAAAATAACACAAAGAAAACAAGCAGAAATCAATTAAATCACAGAACAATGGGATGGGCGTGTAACCCAGAATGTGTGGCCATACAGAAAATGTACACATTTAGACATTAAGTGGTAAACAATACACAAAGGCACACACAAAATTGGGTTATTTTGGCAGAGAGGATTTAAGCTACATTCACAGCATCCACATTCAAACGCTGAGACTACACATTCAGACATTTCTGGAAGGGGTTGGTTAGCGATTCACAGGTAACAACTATAATTATTTCAGTATATGCAAGTATCTAGCTCCCCTCATAAATGCTGGCAGACCTTCACATTTAAGCCTTTATAAATGGGCCAGGTGTGCAGAAAAATCAATGATTTATGAATTCACCCAGGCACCCATTAAACATAATTTTCCCTGAGCTGTCTTAATGACCTGGTGGTAGAGGTACTTCATCAAGGCGATTGCCCCCGGAATGGACACAGAAACACAAGCAGTGAGCACAAAGGGAACTAAATATTGTCCTCTAACTTGTCAGTTTTTTTTGTTGGAAATAGAGGCAGATAGAGACTCCAGAGGTCATAAGAAACGCATCCAGGACGACAGGATATGAAGAGGCTATGACTCATATCATGCAGGGCTTATCTTCTTCTGGAGTTATCAGATAAATATGGGCATGAATTTGAGAGCGGCATGGAAGGAGCCTGGAGGCACAAACTTCTGAGACTGCATAACAGTCACTGAAAAGCAGAACAGATCTCTTACAAATGAAGAGAGGGGCAGTTCAGATGAGGTTTTATCCCGTCTGGACTAGTGCTGCTTGATGTCTACTTAAATAATAAAAGTCAAAGAATCTCTCAGTTCAGATTTCTGGCATCCAAAATGTAAAATCTTTCCATCCTTTTCCGTCTATCTTTATTTGCATAACACCAATTCATAACAAATGTAATCTCAAGGCACTTCACAAAAAGAGTGGATCTAGCCCCTTCTGTTTATTCTATTATTTACAGATACCCAACATACATCCAGCATGTAGCATCATTTAGCAAAGCAGCTAGTCAAAGTATATTCTTTAGGTCATATGTCTATATGAAGACTTTCCTTCCATGGTGGCTGCAGTGGACTACTTACAGGCTTTGAAAGCACTAAAAAAAAATGAGGGAAGCTAATCGTTGGGAAGATACACCCAAAATGGGCCATTCAAAGCCGAGAACTGCTTCAGACTATGGCATCAAATTACCACCAATTTCCTTCAAAATGGCTTAATTTGCAGACATGCCACTCCTCGCAATGTCACAGATCATTTATGTATGAGATTGCTATAGGTCAATTCAGCCTGCTTTCAATCTGTATGAAGTCGTGTACATGCTGGTTCGAGAGGGAAGAGAGAAAGTGCTCTGATCGACCACACATGGTGTTCTTAAAACGTTCAAAACGTTTGAGACATCAATAGTGTAAAATGCGATGCAGGTAGAGACCTTCTTTATCCTTGACATCATTCTGATTTGGATATTACATTTGAATTTTTTTTTTTAATCAGTTTTGTTCGGAAGCTCTGCCAGACAAATGTACGTCTTTTTCTGGAGTAATGTGTGATCCATCGCTTTCTAAATAAGTCGCATTCAGAAGCCAGTTTGGTATTTAGAGTCACAATGATATAAAGTCACGTTTTTCTCCATGAATCACAGCGCGCTGGCAGCTACTGTCTCCATTATGGGGGTTGAGGAGGGAAGAAAACACATCAAACACAATATCAATTCTACTCTACACCCTCTACTGAGAAATGTTGCATCTTACCAGTGCCATTCTACAATAATACATCCATCATAATAACGGTAGCTAAAATGAAGAAGGAGAGTGGGGGGGAAGTGGAAGATGAAGAAGAAAAAAAAACAGGAAGATGTTAAAGATAAACACAGCATAAGATTAAAAAAAAAAAAGGCTGGAATGCTAATCAAAAGAGGAAATTCAGGGAGGAAGAGGGAGAGAAAAACAGTGAAAGAGAGATGAAACAATCATGTAAAAACAAAGCAGTGTGATGAAACCAGAACGGAAAACGTGACATCAGAACATAAATGGGAATCAAACTGCAGCAAGATAAGACACAAGACACACCTCATTAAACTAAGCTAGAAGAACTTAATTAACCTGTGGTATCGACAGCATCAAAACCATTTCACCTTGATAACTCAGAGAAATCCCAAATGAAAGGAAGGGAAAAGAAGTCAGCGCTAAAAACATCGGCTGTGATGTTTGGATGACAGTTTTATTTCAATCCATGTGAAAAACTGCACAAAAAAAAATCCTACATACAATTTAAATCTTGTTTATGATGAAACAAAAGCAAGAGTCATAGCAAACCGCCTAACGCTGAAGCTAGTTTTCTTTCTTTTTTTTTCCAAATGTGCTTGAGCAGCCGTGTGTTGAGTAATGGCCTTTGAATTTAAAAATGGCGTCAGATGAATGAGAGCTGACAGCAGCAGCGCAGCTTCACATTCGTTTCCAATGGTCATCTGAAACACTGCAGACTGTTTGGAAAGTCAGTAAGAGTCGAGGTCAGGCGGTCAGCTCTCAGCTACATAATGGGAGGCCGTTGTAATACATCATATGACACTGAGAACTCCGGCAGTCGATATTTTTTTTGCTGCAGAACAAACTACACGGTGCATCTTTGCTACCAGAGATTTTGGACTTGCACTTCGTTTCTGGTCGAGAGTTGTACGAAATTGCCAATCTTTCTCCGCTCTGACTGTCATCATTTAAGCTAGCAAGCCAATCAAGGGGCTTAGGGCGGCCCTTGATTGGGTGGACGTGCCTTGTAGTTTGAACAGAGTTCAATTCCACATGTTAGAAGTGGTATCTGGCACAGACCACGTGTTTAAAAATGACTTAAAAGACAAGTATGTTGATATCTCATTTTGCTGAGATCTTCAGATAATCTGAGGACTTTCATTCTTGCAGAGTGTCGTTGGTTATTTTACAGAATCTGATGAGATACATGGGGAACTAGTTGAGGCTAAATTGCTTCATCAAGTATTCACTGTCGGAGGTGTCCACTTGGGATCACCAAATTATTCACCTTGCAGGAAACTATGGGATCTCATTATGTTTGATATATAATGGCAGCGAGAGAGACTCAGAAAATTGCGCCTATAAGTTAGAAGAACAGTAAAAAGAGGATTGGGTTGACCCATAAATCATGGAATTTGTGGGTTAAATTATTTTCTCCTCTCAGCTACATTAAACCATTAAATTTAGCTCCCTTTATTCACAAACATGAAGATGGAAGTGATGATGGGAGTACATTTGTTACAGGGAAACATCTGAAGCCCTTTCCAATCCCATTCAATCACCTTTATGAACATGAAATCATTATAGGATTCAAAGCCTTACCCATACCCTTAATCAGTGGCAAAACCATTCAAGGTGATTCCAATCTTTTGGATCCCTTTTGTTTACACTTGTGAGAAAGGGACACTGAGAGTTACTGCTGGTCATTCAAAATAAAAGGGTTTAAAACAAGTGGGGAAACACAAAATGATGCTTACCTAACTGCTCTTATTTGCTCCTCGCTTCAATGTTTTTGGCTGAATCTTTTTTTTTTAAATTTTGGAATTTAGGCTTGTGGCAGTACGCAGTCAAACGGGTCCATGTGGTCCAGCGCAACCCTGGAACCCATCAGCACTCATCTGATTTATCTCTCGTTAATGTAAAAAAAAAAGAAAAAAAAGAAGAGCGATCTGCTTAAAAGTCTCGCTAATAATCCCCATGTAGATTTGTTCCTCGGCTCTAACTCCAGTCTCGCTTCTGATGTTGCGAGTATGATGTTGCTAGTAGCCATGGCAACACATGGCGTTGGGAGTCTTGGCAGAAAATAACTGGATTTCTAACTTCTGGCTGCATTGGAAGCCCCAGGAAGTTGCAAAGTGAAGGGTAAAGAGATTGTATATAAGCAACCTAACACCATTTTCTTTTTACTTATTCTGTCAGCGACACATCAGTTGGTGACATGAAACTTTTTTAGTAAGCACGTACCGGTTTGTGGCAGCAGTTTGTGCGTTTCAAAGTAGCCGGCCACTGATTGAAGGATGAAAACAAGACTCCATACTTTTACATTTCTCAGAAGACGAAGATCATTTAGTGACTCCCTCTACGTCGACTGTAGTGTGAGTACAGGTCATACTTTTGTCTTTCTCATAGCAGCACTTAAACCCCCAGGTTTTGCTCAGTAACATCCTGCAGAGAATCCGTGATGGAAAAACACATCAGCAAAGTACGGTCTGACGCAGCGCAGCTAAAGAAGGCAATATCATGCTTGCAGAAGATTGTTTTTTTTTTTTTTCCCCGTGTCACTGTGCGGAGAGAAGCAGGGCAGACAGGGCCACTGTGCAGAGACACGACCACTGAGACGGCCACTAAGAAAAAAACAGCCAGAGCGTCGGCCATAAAGGAGACTAATGTGTCCAGAGTGGCTCCAAACAGAAAAAAAAAATAGCGTGGCAGACAGCAAAAAACAGAGCAGAGACCCTTATCCATCATAGCAAACAGGCAGCAAAACAACTTTACACCATCTGTTGAAGGAGTGTGCCCTGACACCAGGTAGCCCGGGCTTACGTCAAAGGCAATGATGGAAAAAGCTGTGTCATCCCTTCAGTGGTAAAGGACATTAAAAGCAAACTTGTAAAGCTTTTTTTTTTTTTTTTTTTACAGTGCCAAACTTCTGGGAGAAACTTTCAGAAGAAGAACTAATCTACAGCTAAATCTCCAGAGTGTAATGCATGGGTAATTCAATGAAAACCTGCAGCTTCAAAGCTAGACTTAGCAATATTTTAAAATCTTAAATTGATCACATGTCAGCTTGAACGTGAAAAGGGTCACTCATAACCCCACGGCGCTAATTTAGCTGCCCTAAAGCGACAAAATGAATACATTTATGTCTGAAGATTAGTGCTTGAACCATTATGTAATCAATAATAGTCAACATAATACATATTTTACTGCATTCATTTTTTGTTAAATTAGTGTCAACAGAAACTGAATCTTTTATATCTTTGAATTGCTCCACTTGAATTATTGAATTAAATATTTGAAGTGAAATAACATGATTTGAATTTGTATTGTTAAAACTGAATCGAAATTGAAATTTATTTTTTCCCTTGCTAAAAATACAAGTCCCCAAATTCAGTTATCTCTATCCATACGCCCCTCCACCCTTTTGGTTTATATACTAAACTTAGACTAACTTCATTATTTGCGTACATTTAGTTTTGTCCTCTTTTGTCTCCTGCGCTCCTTATTGAAAGGTTGTTTTAAGAAACTTTTCTGTGACGAGATAAGGGGATACACCATGATACACTGCGATATGAAACAAAAGGATATGACATGATGCAATAGGATACAAAACAAAATGAAAAAAAGAAAATTGTCCCCTTGGGCCAAATTGGTCATGTACCCAAGTGCTTCCCACATTTAGCTTCCTCTGTAGAAAGAGATTTTGCTTCTTTCAACTTATGCAGTGGAGCTTTTTGTCCTTTTAACACTTTGATTTACCTTCATTAGCCTTCACCTTCATAGAGACTTTTTTTCTCAAAGAAGTTAAAAACAAAAAAAAAAGTTTTTAGTTGTGCAAATCGTTAATGTTTCTCTAGGTATCCTCTACTTGTGCTAAAAGAAAAGTTGTATTGCCTTCCTTGTCCCTTTAGGTTCCATAGTATCTGTAAGCAGCCAGGCACAGGCAGATAAACATAGAACACACACACACGCTACGTTATGAATATTCATCGTCGGCGTGTTGACACCCAGATAACACCAGGTCAGGCCTGTCAGATTGTCCCCTGGCCTTTCCCCGCTTACAGACAACAACATTCTTCAGATAATGACGGAGACGCAGCAGCATATCTGTTTGATTTTAACCCCGCCTGACACAACCTTTCAGCATAATGGGAGGTGCTTACCTTTGCAGGCTCCGACTCCCAGACCCTTGGGTTGGCTGTTCACAACCTTAAGTACTTTTAATGAGGTTTCCAAAATATCAAAAGAGAAAGGCAAACAAGAGTGAAAAGCTCGGGAAGACTTGTGAGTACAGAGGGCCAATCGGAAATGTTGCTTTTTTTAGCAGGCGTTCATTAAAGCTCCTATGAGGAGTTTCTGAGCTGGTTATTAAACAGACTGAAATGGATATTGAAGCCTCTACAGGAGCTGCAGAATCAAACAATATCATCTGGGACAAGACTTGATTATTTCTATAATGTTATTATCAATGCCTGAAACAGCTGCAGGAGGGTAGATGTCAGACAGTTAGCTGGAGAAACATTTTCATACCACCAAAAAAAGAGTCACTGCGAGCGAAACATTTGAATATTAGAGGACACCAGGACGATATTTGTTGTGAAAAAGCACAAATACAAAATTCAGCAAAGAGATAAGTGGGTAGCGCTGTGTCCACTGGGGCACCAGAACCGACTAATAACGTGAGTTCTTCTCAGTAGCTCTAAAGTGGAGGAAACAAGGAGACTCAACCTGAGTCACACCAGACACAAGTCAGCTGTCAGAGCGAGCCCGTCACACTGATTTTCAAACATTCTTCCCATCTGTAACAAAAACGTCGATGCCGGTGCTATTTCTGGACGGCTTTTAATGGATATCTGGGTGATCTGAGTGCTCTTACTTGATGTTGTCCAGGCAACCGGAGTCTGGTTTCAAGATGGCCGTGTGATGGAACATCTTGTAGAGAGCGATGCCCAGGAAGATCACGTTGAGCTGAGATTCAGAGAGAGAGAAAGAGAGAGAGAGAGAGAGAGAGAGGGGGATAAAGATTTCATGTTGCAGCCCCATTCATTTTAAATCAGAGCACTTTGTAGCACAAAGCTGGAACGCCACAGCCCCAGACTTGGTTTCCCACTTTGCCAAACAGAGCGCAAAATCCTGTGGAACCTCTGTGGCAGTACAGCAGACAAAACAGGGGTGGTGGGGGGGGGCGGTGAGACAAGACAGCTGCATACTTGTATGAGCGAGCCTTTCCATCTGACTTAGTCACACTTGTCTCATCATATTCACACTTAGAGGCAACCACAGGGAATAACTGCCATCTCTGCTGCTGCTGCTGCTGCTGCTGCACTCCTATTTCTTTACCAGTGTCTATATCTTGAAAAAAAAAACATACACTTGGCATCGCTTGAAATTTCCACTTGAAGAACTTTCAGTATTTCTCACATAGCGCTTGGAGCTATTGCACGAGCAAACAACAGAGGAAGGGTTTAATTTTATTCACACTGTGATGTGCCCTTTTTGTTGTAAAACGGGACACTTTTTTTACTCACCCTCGCGCTCTGTGCAAGAGTTCCTCAAGTATTTTCAAAATACCCGTTTCTCTAAATAACAGATTTCTTCAAATAAAAAAAAATAAAAAAATCTGGCTGAGAATCAAACACAGAAATGTCGAGCAAATTCCACGAAGTTGAACTTCCGCGGCTGTGTTTGCCAAACACATTCAAATAAACCAGACAAAAAAAAAAAAAATGGTTTGTATTATATTGTGTGAAAATAAAACAAACTATAATTTAGCACATTATGTTCCTTTTTTCTCTTTCAAACAAAAGACAAGAATTCAAATCTGGTCACAGCACGCTGGTCTTTACATAATGACTCCTCAACAAATAACAGTCATTAGAGCACTTTCACTTTCTGTGCTGCTGCTCACAGGTGACATTTAGCTAATCTGAGACAATTTGAAGAGTTAACCATGTATGATAGTAAATAGCCAGAGCCTTACATTTTTTTAAATCTAAGAAATACAGGGGTGAGCTAGGAGACGCAGAGAGAGATGCACTGTGGATGATCACACAAGGTAGAGCGACATAATGATAATAATTAACGTGTATGTTATGGCTGTGTTTTTTTTTTTTTTTAAATCCCTGTTCTGTTTGTTCCGTAACTCCCCTTCTATTGGCCTTCAGTTCTGCAGTAGACAACAAGGAGCACGTGGTCCTGGATCAGTTCTGAAAAACCTGAGTCGAGACATCTGAAGTGGGAGCTAATGTCTCCGGCCTCTCACACGGGGGTTTTGTCGCTTGGAGGACCATTGCCTCCATACATGGGGCCCGTGCACTAACCGCTGCGCCACCAGCGCCCCATTGAGATGATTTATAAATGAAAATATTTCTATATTTTGTAGACCCTTATACCCTTCTTTTGTAGTGCAACATTTGTACACAACCACCCGTTTCATTAAGTAGACAGGAGGAAGTTGTTTGTCTCCAGCCTTAGTTCCTCTACCAGAAAGAGCATTACGCAACTTAGAATGAAGTTAGTAAACACTGTGTGTCCTGCTAGACAAAATATTATCTTTCTTAAGGGTGTACATCTTGATTTACTGTTTCTGAGTATTTATTATGTGGCTGACTGATGACTTTGAAAAATCAGGGGCGCACATCATTTGTGCCAAAGCAATATTTATAGCTTGGCGTTAGCTTAAAGGCTAAGATAAACAGCACTCTGACTGCAGATTTAGAGCACTCAGATCAATAAATTAGCTCTTTAAAAAAAAAAAAAAAAATTAGGGCTGTCCTAGTTGGGAATGAGTCAGAAAGTGTGTGTATGTGTATGTGTGTGAGTCCTGCTTCATGTTGCTTGGGTATCTGAGTTCCAGTGAGGAGAAGCGGTAAGAAAAAAAAAAAAAAAAAAAAGGTAGGGAAGTTGGAACGGGAACAAAATCAATCATAATCGCAGTGCGGATTACTCCAACACTGCATACTGAGCAGAGTTCACTCTCTTTCTCTCCGTTTCTCACTAACCCCTCTACTACAACCCCCCTCCCCCCTAAAACTGTCTCAGCCTGTGACTGCAGCGCGGGGCGACAAACTGCAATATATTCTCTACACCCCTCATTCGTTTCTCTGGATGGCTCCGTGCCTGCGGTGGCATATATGCTCAACAGGGCGGGGAAAGGAGGGAGGATAGAGGCTGGAAAAAAAGAGGGAGGGGGGGGGATCTCGGCGGAGCATTTAAGCGCCGACCCGCAGGCTAAGTAGGGTTAATGAGGAAAGTCGAGGAGGGGGTTGGGGTTGGGGTGGGGGGGGGTGTCATGCTTACCATAATTATCAAGGTTGCTGGTCCTATGAAACTCCAAATGAAGTAGGTGTCCAGGCGAAGCCAGCAACTGCAAAGAAAGAGAAAGAAAGAGTGAGGTGAGGGGGGGGAGAGAGAGAGAGATTTGAGGTGATGGCTTTATACTCCTCCTCAGAGGAGATACATCAAGAAGGAGGAAGACGTGACACAGGAATAGGCTCTTCAAAACATATACTGCCGTGAGGGGTTTAAAGAATGATAACCAACAGTGAGGATTTGGCGGGAAAAGGGGGCTTTTAGTGTCAGTGTCAGCAACAATAATAATGGACTCTCATGAGCAGAAGAGATTAGAACAGTCAGAACTGTTTGCTGTATGCACATGTTGGATGGTCTGCCTGCTGTGTTCTCATTTACAAGACTAGGTGTGCTTCTTTCATATCTTCAAACCTACAGAAACTTAATTCTATGGGGGAAAGAGTGTTCAAGTTCGCTGCTCCCTTTGTTTGGAATTCATTACAAAAGGACCTGAAATTTAAGGAACTGGTGTCATTGGATGCTTCAAAGGTCATTTTAAATCACTTGGAGTGTCTGTCTGTAGATGTTCTTCTTGATGTATTTATATTCACGGTCGATTTTGTCACAGAATTTGCCGGTTTACACTTGTTATTTCATGCCTATTCATTTATTATAGTCATGTATCTTGTCTTGTGTTTGTTGAGAACTCACACACTGTAAACTGTTCAGCCACCTGTCTTGGCCACAGATAGAATAAAAATGGACGCATCTCCCCTTTGGCTGCTGAATTATAGTGGTCGCCATACTGAAAATGCTGACTCCACTGAAAATGTGGTCAGTAAAAGACAAAGAGGTGGAGTTGAGGTGAACCTTTAAAAAAAAAACAATAACCCTAACTTTTTTTTTTATCAATTGAGAAGAGACCAAAATCATTTATCTGAACCATGTTTTAAAAATGTTTATTTTAATATGGGATGGGATCTATTGGCGATTTCTTAACTGTGAAGTCAGAGTCAAGGAGCCCTTGAGAAACTGCATTTGTTGGTTTTATTTTTCAACACTAGAAGTGGCCGCTTGTTCTTGGCCAGTACGCTCTATGAAAAGAGATATCTTAAGTTGCTTCTCCAGAAACAATAAAGGTTGAATTCATGAAAATGCAAAGAACAGGTGTTAACAAACATGGTGTAAAGTCTGAGAGTTTAAAGAGTAAGCAGACTTCAGTCACTTCTTATTCAATTTGTCTGGTTAAGGACTCAAATTACCATTACAGATGATCATTTATGGATGATTCAATTAGTCCACAATTGAACCCCAACTGTATCACTCCAAAGGAATCAGACTGACCTTGACCCCGACAGACACGGCCACACACAGATTCAACAAAGTGTCTCTCATGTTCATGTTAACTGTGATGGCACTGCAGCCCTCTTGTAATGAAGTCAATAATTGAATAACATGATATCATGACCCAACGTTTCATGTCAAAACATTACAGATGGTCGCTCCTTCTTCGCTCTGTGAAACTAAATGCAGATCACAAGCAGCAGGGTTGGTTGGCGGAAGGTGACAGAGCTCCTTTGAAATGGCAAAAGGAAGAAAAATAACTTGATTCATGACCTGTGGTTGAATTATTAATCTTTTAATCTCCCCTGCCGCAGTAGATAGACGCCTCCATTTTTGGCCACTGGAAAATTACAGTTCAAGCAGGCGCATTGTCATTCCGACTGACAGGGAGAGGAAAATGGAAGTGGCAGAGAATTAGCTGTAATTCAATAGCATTTTAAGGCAATTTGAAGTGTATGAGGCACTCAAGAGGAGCATAAAGCTTGTAAAGTGGAACGTGCAGACAAAATAAAAGTCTGAAAAACGAGGCACAAAGCTTTGAAATGTGCTTGTGTAAAGCCATTTCTTTTCATAAAGCCTTTCTTTTTCAATGTAGATAGAGAAACTAAGAAAATACAATAACCCATGGTATGATTAAAGCTTTTCTGGTCTCTTTGAGGAAAGACAAATGGGACATCTTCACTTTTTAAACATTCAATATCGAGCCAAAAAAATCTCAAGAACAATGGACAAGTTTGTACATGTTTCACTTTTTGTCTTTGAAAAACACGATACAACATCGAACGAGACGTGATGGGACAAAAAAAAAAAAACTGACTGGTCCTTTGTTGTCACTGGGGCTTGATATGTCTCCCCCTCGCTGATATCGATGGATAAGAGGAGGCAACACAGAAGAAACACGTGTGCATAAAGAAGTGAAAGAGCGCACACAAAAGACGCACAACATGCGGAGAGACTGTGGCAGCTCATCAAAGCGCTCGCTCTGAACATCGCTGTTATAAAATATGCTGAAGGTTCTATTGTCTGTATTTTGCCTCTTCTTCTTCTTCTTCTTCTTCTTCTTCTTCAGATCATAGAAAGATTTAAAGACCTGGTGGGCGATGGAAGCTGCCAGGCTTTCATTTCTTTCTCCCCTCTACCTCCCCTTCTCCACTCGTGTCACGGTTTTATTTGGCTTTTGGAGCTCTTGGAGTTTTTTTTTTTTTTAAATCTTCCCCTCGCGGTTTTCTACTTTGTGCACTCTTCCTTTAATAACCGAGCACTAAAAGCCGAAGTCAAAACACAAGGCTTGCTCGTGCCAACAGCTTGGGCTGAGCATTTTGGCATTTCGTGCCACCAATCTGCAGTGATCTGACACAGGCTGTCCTCCGAGCCAAGGCAGCTTAATCTGCAAAGACGTCTCTGCGACAGAGATAGTCATTTGGTTGGCGTGATAGCGAGCTGATGACCATCTGAGTGAGTGAAGCAACGTGAAATATTTAGGCCAGAGATATCACTCGCAGCTCTTTGATGCAGCCTGAAGGCCTGGCGCACATTTTGCCTTGAAATATGATCCGTAAGGCATTTGCATTTTGTAGACATAGATTTAAGATACTCTGTGACCTGGGGCTGTTATGGAGCAGTGTTTGATGAGCTCTTTTGTTTGGGTTATGTCAATCTTGCTTAACATGTTCCAGTTGTTGCTTTTAATGTAATGCACCAAGACATGAACAAGGAGAAGTGAAGGAAAGACGACACACACAAAAAAAAAACACTTTGAAGAGACTCTCAAGGTCCCACAAACTTGTCATCAGAGGGTCATTTGATAGACACTGAAGGTGTCAATAGGCTAATTTTTGGTAGCTTTGATAGCTTAACTGCCAAATAAGTATAACTATGAAAGTATCATACAGTTTTAAATAAGACCAGTACTGTATGCTAGCCTTTTTCCAAAATAATACATACATTTACAGATACCTTCAATTTATGTAACTTTCTGATTTCTTAATCACAGTTTTTATCACACTTTTATGCCTTTCAAGAATGATCTGAAATACTTGAACTAACAGTTGCTTAATTCTTCTAACTTCAAAGTATTTACAATATCAAGCTAGAAAACAGAATACACGCTAGCTTCAGACAAAGGCTCTTATAAGTGGGAAAAAAACTCTTATATTATATAGTCAATGAAAATGTAAGAATAACCTAAATAGTCAAACCCACGGCAAGTAAGATATAGCTAACCCAGTCTGTAGAGTAAACCTGCGGTAAACATGCTAACAGTAACATAGCTAGCTTGGTCACTTCTGCTTGCTACATACGGTACCTTCTTGCCTTGCTGCTCTCCAAAAGGAACTTGACATCATAATGCAAGTCAACAGGCCAAGTTCAGCTGTTTTTATTTGCAAAATGTTCAACGGTTGACCCTTTGGCAATACTCACCATCATTCACCATTATTAACCGATTGCATGACTATAACAGTAAATAGATTGATGAATATAAAAAGAGGCTATTGCTCTGTTTACAGGTGCTTTTAGGCCATTTGTGTTTCATTAGAGAAGTTCCACAGGAATACAGCCTTGTTTTGCTGACTAGTGGATGTAAAAAGAGTGTGTTGCTCGAGGGCACAATTAGAGGGATCACTTAAAAGTTGCTAAATAGAAATCTTGCTTTTTTTCGTTTTCCTGAGACCAAATATTTCCATTTCATCATCACCAGTGACTTTCCCCTGCCAGTTCTTTTTTTTTTCTCGCTACATTATCACACAACTTGTTAGACATTTCTTCTGAAATAAGACCACCTATGATAACGCCATAATGGTCCCCTAATCAATTTGCAGCAAGATTTTGCACCTTCCCGCACCTTCTGCTATTCACCAGGTGTCACACCTTGTCCCTTCCCTCATCACTCAATGGCTGCGTATAATTGTTCCACTGGTGGCAGCCTTTAATTATTCACATGATGCCACGGCTCAGGCGGTGGCACCTATCACCTCTATCCATCACCAAGAACTATGGCTCCACCAATTCACAAATGCACTGCTGTCTACCAGTAACACTGTGTGTGGGCCTTGGATGATAAACATCGTGGAAGCAAACTGCTGATGCTGGTCTTCATTATTTTCAGATGGCTTTGAGATTATCAGAGAGGAATGGAGGGCCATCCTCTTCTTGACATAGCACTGCTTTATGGACCACTTTGTGCTCAAAGTAGAGTGCTGGGAATTTTTTTTTTATCTAATGTAGCTTTTGGAGGAAATGTGAAAAGGGAGTCCATGTTGCATTGGTTTGTTAATCTCCTGTCTCGTTTTCCCTCTTTCACTCTCCATCCTCCTGTTCATACTCACTCTCCTTCCTTTAAATCTATCCCTCCAAGTGCTTGAATTTGTGCATCCTAAAACGCCGGAGACATCAGCCACTACAGCCAAACATTTATTCAGCAGTGCTCTCTCCTGAAGTTTGCATTTTTCACTGTCGGAACAATGTCAATTCAGCAGCGGGGAAGTGTTCGCAGCATGAGTAACCGTTCTGCTTCATTAAAAGTTGATGATGATGAGCAATAGCTATCGGAGCGTCATTTGCAAGATTGCTGAACACAAACAGTTGCCATGTTGTTAGAGGGCTTTCTGTTGCTGTAGATACACGCAGAATAGTGGGGGGGTCTGCTTTTTTTTTAGCCACGTATCCCTACCAGACAAACGCTTTCACACAGATTCTACTTTTTTACCGAAAAACAATAAGTTGCTTTTTTGGTGACAAACATATTTGACTATGGGAATTGTAAAGATCAGGAACAATTACAGTAAATGGTAGATTGTTAATGCGTTTTGGTCATTTAAGCGGGTTGCACATAGTACTATAAGTAGGTCTTAAATAGCCTGAGTACCAACTCTTCCCTATATTTGTGCAGTGAAAAAAATCCCCTTTCGTTTGTAATGAAATGTACAATATAAAGGCAAGTAGGCAAGGCAAGGCAAACCTGCAGCTCTCCTTGCCAGGAAAATATCAACTGTGTGATTCACAGAATCAGTATGCTGTTAATAATTAAACCTGATGCAACATTTCAGGAGGCATAGTATAAGAAAAGTCAACCACTATGCTGACGACACAAAGTATATATTGCAGTCTCTCCTAAAGACTCGGGCTATTGGCTGCATTTTAAACTGCATCTTAGTCATACAGCTATGGATGGTGATGTAACTTAACAGCTTAACCAGAAAAGAAAAGAAATGGTTGTTTTGTTTTTTTTAGCACTAAGGGCAAGAGAGAGAAAAGCCCAATGTAATACTCCAAGCACTTGCATTACAGCAGCAATATGTAACTCTGACACGTAGCGTTTAAAATGAGTACTAGAGTCCAAATTCAAAACATTGGAGAGAGCCCGCCCCCTCTTCCCTAGAGCCAGCTCTGCATCGGCCTCAAAACCTCTCTGCGCTCTAACCTTTCTCCATTCTTCAAAAGCATCGCCAATATTTATCCTAGTTTTTTACCATGTTTCTGGTCATGGGACTTATTAGAAAAATGCAGAGGCTTTTTAGGTCAGGTAGAATCAGTTATTCCTCAACTAGGGTTGAGGAGGAAATACTGGCTGCTGTGCTGTTGATAGGAAAACCAGTTTGTCCATATAGCCTGTTCCTTAATGTAACAAGGTTACGTAAAGTTATGATTTCATTTACTAGATATTTTACATACTGGACTTTTAAACTGTGGAAACCAAGAAAGTTGTCTGTAATTCTAAACATAATATTTGAACTGCAAATTAGAGAGCGGTTAGAACGAGAATAAAGCCAATTCTTCAGCAGCTTGAAGTCATATCTCAAACCCTGATGTTACTCACACTCGGTCGGTGCCGTAACTCCTGTAGTCCACTGCAGCGGAAACGGCCACAATTAGCGCCGGAACTCCGTAGCCCACCATGTAGAAGTAGCGGCGGCGCGAGTGCTCGCTCTCGAACACCTCCACCAGCATGATGTAGAGCTGCACGCCCTCCAGGAACATCCATGTGAACGCTGCCAGGAAGAAGAAGTGGAGCAGGGCTGCGAAGACGGCACAGGCAATCTGGGGGAGATTTACACGATATGTGCTCAAGAAACATTTTAATAAAATCACTTTGGGTGCATTTTTGGATTCCCGAGAGGATTTTAATGCAATGCTTGCGGCCACAGTGTGATAAGGGGACTGTGCCATCCAGGAGAAAGTATTTCTCTGACCTCTGCACGTACGTGTCTTCCCAACCATTAGCATTGCTTAGCTTTGTTTGGCTAGCGTGATTGGATGTTTGCCTGTACTGACTGGCAGAGGAACGCCGCAGCTACTGAGCCCATGTGGTCTTGTTTGCTGTAGCTGGCACGGATGAAAGAGAGATATGAAGAAGCCGAGTCAACAGTCCAAGAGCCATTTGGAGCTCATTGGTTTTTTAGAGTGCGGCCAGGTGCTCTCACATAGCGCGCAGTTAGAGATACAGCAGTCTGTCATTGGTGTGTGTTCAGGTGCCTTCTCACTTTCTTACAATAATAAGGCCAAGTACTTACACGGATTGATGTAATTATCGGCACAGTTGAACATAACTAGCGTATTCTGTCACTGAGATGGATTCAATTAAATAACTAAAAGGTTGAGTGGACATTAATTGCGGTACAGGAGAGTGATCTTAGAGTCTGGGCGGTGAATCACACACATAAAATATTATGGAAGTGAAAAGGTGTCGGGCAAAGCATTATCTTTCACTTGGTGGGGAAGTAGTTTTGCGTATCGGGGATGACCTGTGAGTTTTGATTTGACAAGTTGTAGAAGTTGTCCAGATTTGATTGGTTAGTATGAGGCTTGTAGGTATGTAGGGGACTAAATGATAATAAAAGCAACGGCAATAAATAACTGTGATTATTCAAAATAGCTATTATAAAAGATTTAATCCAGTGACTGACCCCATTATAAGGTAATGCTTACTTTCTGGAGATGAGCAAGTTTAACTGCATATTCTGCCTCATTAGTAAGCGAAAAAAGGCATAATTTACAGAAGCTGCAGGTGGAATAAAGCCCTCCGCTGCTCTGTTCAAATGTAATGACTCTATATTTGTCTAAAGTGTGAGTGCTGAGCACACACACTTGAAGATGACCGTGCAGTGACAGTGCGCCTCCAATTGCTACAACAGCTGAGCTCTCGGAGGAAAATAATGCAATTCAAAGCACAGTTATTATACTAGAAGAAGGTGCAGTTTATTGAACAGCGTCATCCAGTTTAATCTCAAGTGTTGAGAAATTAGAAAACGGCACCAGGAGGTGAATTCATGTCAGTGAGTGTGTACTATGTCAGAGTGATCGAGATATGAGGATGTGACAGTGAGTTGGCAGGTGTGATTGAGCATGTGTGAGTAATTTCAAGCATGTCTTTGCTTCTGTGGAGCCAGGGGGGAGGGAAGAACCTTTGTTGACTGAAGACCATGCAATTCTTTTTTCCACAGTTTTTCGTCTCAGTGAGCGAGGCAGAATACAAAAAGAAAAAATCATGGCCACTGCAACTTGCTTGGAACTAGCACTCACAACACAACGGGATATTAAAGGTTATGTTTGCTTAAGAGCTTCAGATTCTTAAATTTAGAGAAAGGATGGTGAAGATTCTTTGGTGGAAATTTACAACAAAAACACTTCTAGCAGCCCCTAGGGACTACAAACAAAACAATTCAACACACTTTGAGATTCAAGGTTGTTGTGCAAGGTGTAGAAAATGGCATGTCTTCATTTTTAATTTAAAAACTACAACTACAACATGGTTATTAAAGCTAAAAGTCAAATATTTTTGAAATAAATGTTGCTACCAGTGCTACCACATTGTCAAAAACAATTCCATATTCCATTGGTGTTTCATTTTTAATTTCTTCCAACCCTTCATCTCTTGATAGTGGTATTAAAGAATGAAATTGATAATGGAAAATACACCAATGTTTCTTTTTTTTTTGTCAAAATTAGTAGACCCTCCTTCAATCTTAAAACTTAACAATAAAAACTGTATTTTTATCTGAGCGAGCAATGCAGGTAGCCTAGCTTAGCATTAGGTGGAGAAACAACAATCCTTACTGTGTTATCAAGCTCAAAGTTCTGGAAAAATGGCCTCAAAACAATAACAATAATAATAATTAATAATCAATCATTTTTTTCAATTTGTTTTGCGTCGTTGGCACCTTCCAACAGATTATCAAAATATTATTTTAAACATATTCTGTTTAACTTCTTTTTCGTCATATAATTGTAATTAATGATGATTTTGTCCATGTATGGTAGTCGGGTCTATCGGTTTCTTACCGGCTGGTCACCTCGGTTGATCCCCACCAGGAACAGGGACTCAGCGATGAACAAACAGATGCAGAGGTTCTTGTGGATGGTGTTGCGATCACTCTGGAGGCCGCGGAAGAAGCAGAAGGTGAAGAGGCTGATGAGCAGGCAGACCAGCGACAGGAGGATGCCGACCCACGTGATGACATCCAGAAGCATGTCGTGGATGGGGTCTGTGTTCTGTAAGGGAGGCGAGGAGAGAAACGGGTTGGCATACACAAGTCGTAGACATGATGTGAGAATTATTTCTAATTTTTGAAACACAACACCTTATTTTTTAACTTTTTGAAAAGATAAAAACGACTGAAAAGGGATTGTTAGTCAAAGGGAATAACTAATCATAAGCCAATCACTGGTAACACATGAATGACAAAAGTCAGTACAATTCACCGTTCTATTCTAGCACCAACCCTGAAGCTGTTATTTTCAGTATAATTTGATTTTTGTTTCATTTTGGGGGGTAAAGAGCAGTCATTCAGCGCTCCAACAAACCACAACAGAGCGGGCCACAGGTGGCGGATATGAATCATGAATTAGTCAGTGGGAATCAATCTAAAATGCCCCCCTATTGTTTCATTTTGTTCGGGGCAACAAAGTGAAACAAAGTGAGCAGTCCACAGGGCCACAGGTGTCTAAGACCGGCGCAACAGGAATGCAATCAAACCACAACATGGTCAATAACTTTCACTGTTGATTTTTAGACAATTTTCTCTTTTCAAATAGTAATTTGCCACCAAAGCCAGTTTTGGACACTAAAAGTCTTTCCGCTGACAATAAATCCGTGGCTTTACTGGAGAGATAAGGATCAACAGTGAGTCCAGAGCAGCCATGAAAGAGAATTTACATCGCTCCATAAAAGCTGCATGCACATAGGGATGCTGTGCAGAAGCGGGAGAAAGGCAGCACAGGCTAAAACAGCAGCATCTGCAGAATGACTGACTTCTGTGGCCTTAAACACATTAAAACAAACACATCAGATGCATTATCCTTCCAAGAAGCTGCCAAAGATTAAAGTCTGGGCCCCTCTAGAATAGGAGCTTCATTAGGAATGTGTCATAAGCGACATCCTGTCAGTAAATTCACTTTGAAACTTAAAAGGTGCCATGACTTTCTTGCTTGATCAGCAAACTTCTTGCAATCTATGGTTCCTACGTGGAGTTCTTTATGGAAAAGGCACAGGTGAAGCTCAACCAAGGTGATAAAATACAGATCAACATTTTATTTAAAAATAGTTAGCATATAAAGTGGGCATGACTAAGCATGTATTAAAACGGTTGGCATGGAAAAAAAAAAAGAGGACGAATCAGAAAGCTGAAAGTAGTACTCCCAAATAGTTATCAGATGTTATCAGAAATTGCCAAAACGTTTGAATTTTTGACTTTACGATCAAAAAGTAATAGATAAATGATAGATATAGTTGAAATTCAAAGATGATCTTTTTTTTTTTTTAGCTTAAACTAGTTGATAAATGGTAGAAGTGGTTAAATATGATGGACACGTGTTGAAATATTGAAGTGAAACATGTGGATGAAAGTTCAAGTGGTTCAAGGCAACAGACACATTTCTAAACATTCAATTTCAGCTGCTCAAGGTGGCAGTTGAACAAATGTAAACACTTCAAGTTCAATCGAATTTAAAAAAAAAAAAAAAAAACATTTTATTTTTTGTACTTTTATACGATTAAAAGTTCAGTAAAGTCTGATTCATGATCAATCATCATGGGGTCTGTAGGGTTTGGAGTGTTATCTGTATTTACCATACTTGACTGTGGAGTTTCAACTGACATCAAGGTATGACTACATTTCTCTAAAAGATTTAAAATCGTTCAACCACAAGCAGATACCTAGATCATCTTTACAGTTCACATCTAGTATAATGAACAGCACTGTCGAATGACAATTCATCATGCTTCCAGTGGGGGAGCCGAGACTTGCCAAGAGAGATGCCAAAACATGAATCAGGCCACCAGTATGTGGCTTTAACATGTAAAAATAAATAAATTATAATAAAAAAAAAAACAATTGGACAGGAATCAGAGTGTGACATCTTGATTAATTAATTAAACATAATCACTGCATCCAAACACTTTGGTCAGCTTTTGAGGCTTCCTAATTTCCCAAAGGGACAGTTTTCTTTTTCAGCCTGCTGGGCATTGATTTAAAAAAATGGAGGGGGAAAATTACAAGTGGATGGGAAGTGGCGGAGGGAGGTTCAGATAAATATGCCAACCTCTTCAGAAATGACAAGTTATCTCTACTGGGACTTCAGGATTTGCCTGGGTGTAACTTTGAGTTTTAAAGTGATGCATTATTTTAAACACAGAACAACTTAAAGACTCTCAAAGGCAGACAGTTAATTAGCTTTTGACAGGCTGAAAAAAAAAAAAAAAAAACTCGACACAAGTGCAACAGCAACTCCCTTTAACTTTGTTTACATCAAGCACTGACACTGTATATTAACCTCTAGACTTTGGTTGTTTGATGTTCGATTCAAAGACTGTGCCCTCCAGCAAATAATGCATGACCCGGAGCTACACAGTCAGAGACACTCAAGAAAAAAATATTTGCTTATGTTGAGAAATATGGCTGCAAAAGCACACTATAAGTCTAATATGAATCTCAAACAGGCACCTCTTTAAATCATACTTCGCCCACAGTCAGCAGTATTTTTTTTCGCGGCGGCATGGAAAGAGATAGACCACATCAACATCTATGGGTATTTTTTTTTCCTTCTTTCTTTCTTCTTTATCTTTCATCCCCTCCAGTCAAAGTGAGGAAACTTGGGGGTGGGGGGGGGGGGGGGGGGTGAAGTATTGCACAAAAGCCTTGTTTAGTGGCAGCACTGCTAACACTAGCAGAGAGGGGGAACAGATGCTGATCATTAAGGGGCTCTGGTACAATAACAGCCGCAGTGCTCCTTGAGTCTGGGGAGAGCGCCGCGTTTGATTTTCCTGCCTGATGAGCCGTTGTGTATACGTCGGAGGGTTGGCAAGATGTTATATAGAGCAGACGTCTGTGTGTGTGTGTGTGTGTGTGTGTGTGTGGAAGTAAGCATCAGTACTTTAGAGGGTTGCCTACACAGTGGATGGCAGCAGATGTTGATGTTTGTGCTTGGATGTGACATAGAAGTCTGTTTTCTGTGTTCCATAGGCATAGATGCGGTGGGTGGTACATTTTGAAAGTACCCTGAGGTCTCCTGGGCGAGCGAGCTGTGCAGTGGCTGCAGGCTCTATCCATCACAATCTCACCTTCAATTGGAGAACAGCCGGGTCAGAGAGAAAGAGAAGGCCACAGAGGAAGAGAGAGAGAAAAGGAGACAAAGCTGTGGAAACAGTAAAAGAAAGCCATGGAGTGTATCTACACCTGGGTGATGGATTTACTGCAGAATGATTTCTTTGTTCTGTGAGGTGGATGATGGCTGAGACATCGCCAGGAACAATGTCTCTCCTGGAGAGTTTCCTTTGTAGCGACGGGCTCTGCCCAGGCAGGATGGCAAATGATGTGATCTGCAGAGCCTCCACACCTAACCTCACACCGACAAGCCTCCAAGATGGGAATCAGTATCGAGGTCTCTAAAGTGGGCAGACCTAATTTGCTCTGAAATTCACTGGCTGTGTCACAGGGGGCGGCCGAGTCACACAGCATCCGTGTTACTTAGCGGGGCGAGGCGCGTTTGTGCACATTCCATTTGTCTTCCAATCTTTCTCTGCTACATTTTTCTTTTATTTCTTAAACACACATATTTTTCATTCCAGACGGATGCCTGAGGAGATTGGCTCCGGCCCTGATCTGCTCACACAAAGCACAGAATAAGATTTCCGGGCATTCGAGCGTTCTGACAAGGAGGAGCAGACGAGGCAGCGAGGCCTCTTTTGCAACACATACTGGTCATTTTGGCCGAGCCATCTGAACCCGACATACGCATTGAATTACCATAACAACCAAAGCTGAATCTCCTGAACTAGTCCAATGAAATGCGTAAGAGGTTGAAGTGCCGAAGAGAACAGAGCGGCAATCCTTTATACCTCAAAGAACCGCTCTGAGGCCATGAAGCCAATCCAATTAAAATGCATAAATCTCCCTATATGCCTCCAGAGCTAGGCTTTGACTCATGAAATACAGTCAGGCAGGGCAGACAGTCGTGCTAAGGGGTAGTGGCCCCACCGCAGGGAGTCACGTGACAAGTTCACCTCCGGTATGACCGAGGATTTATGATCTGCACCGGGATGAGGAACAGTTGCAGAGAGAGGGCGCATGAATCAGGGGTTCCTGGCAAAATTGTCACATTTAAAAAAAAAAAAAAAAAAAAAAAGGAGTGGGAGAGAGATTCCAGCAAACGTAGCGCGAGTTGACATTCAGCACATGCACAGAATGTCCCACCGTGTTCAAAGCTACAATAACAATGATATAACGCCCCAAGCAGGACTTCAGGACGCTATCTTGCTTTATGCTGTCTCCATCTTTTCCATTAATACCTGCCCCCAAAATAAATCGATTTATTTTGAACTGTCTCCTTTTGCACTGCACCATGTGTATGTGCAACATCACACAACAAATAACCTTGAATGTCCTTTCCCGTCATAGTTACAAGCCGATGACGCCAGTTTGGGGATGTTCTATAAGGACATAGATGAATGGTACCCAAATACCACCCTCTCCATCATCCAGTGGGATGCGCCATTGATTTATATTTACTGGTCTGTCGGGACTAGTGCCACTTACCAGTATCTCAACGCCTCCCTGGGGCCAACCTAAGCACACCCATCGTCTAAGTAAAGAATGGCTTGAAGGTAAAACCAGAGCAGGTCTGTATATCTTGCACTGGGGCTTGTACTTTAGCCCATATTTTAAAATACATATATTTTTATTCAAATGCCCTCAAGCCGTCTTCACCAATGGTGGACTTAAATCCAAAGCGAAGAGTCCAATTAGGAGCCCCAAGAGCTAGTGTGAGCATGGGCAGAAAGGGAATTGAACAATATGATTCAAAGGAGACAAGGATGAAATAGCAGCTTTCCATGGTGTGTCTTTGTGACGGTCAATGAGCTTCTTCTTCTGAGGCAAGACCAAGTGACCCAGAAGGGGTTTATGCAATTGCAGAGGCTTATCAGTTCATCAAAACAGGCCGACATCAACACTGCCATGGTGTCAGGGCGGCATATTGAGGTCAAATAATTCACTATGAAATGCTCATGCTGTGACCAAGTCAAAACCACCAACTGAAAGGCTGTATCATGTCTTACTATATCAAGTGAAGCGGAGTGAATTTATTTGAAGTACTTTTCTGAACATCTTCCTCTGCAGTAAAATGACTCAAGGCCCCGTAAGAGGACATCTCAGGGTTGGAATCATCTGTGTTCTTTGCAAAGTCACATGAAAGCACACCCACACTCACATCACTGGCTCAAACAAGACAAAAACAAATTCCAGTGTGCAATCGTTCTGAAAAAAAAAAAAAAAAAAAAGATACAAAAGAGTCATATAATCTCTCGCATGCAGCTGCCATCTGTGAGTACAGTTTTAATTTGTTTATGCGGCCCACAGCGCTTCTCAGCTTGGATTGAAGGATCAATCAAAGGCATCAGCTCTCCGGCTAGATAGCTCAAAATTAGCAAACAAAGAGCTCAAGTGGCAACGACGGCAGCGGTGGTGGCACTCGATGCCCTTGTGATCGCCTAAGTGGCGGTTACCTGATCCTCTTTATCTGACAGATACTCCTGAAAAATAGGAGGCTTGGTTGAATTTTTGCTAGACTGCAAGTTGAAAAAGATATCACATTGGGTTCTTGGGTTCAGAATATTGCATTAGAGAGAAGCAAGGCTCTAAACATATTTATAAGCATGCAATTTTTCAACCGAGATCCAGCCTTATATTTGAATTAGTAACTATTATAATACAGTGGTGTTTGCAGAGGATGACCTGGTGGCATCACCTCTGCCTGAAATTTGTTGGGTGCCTCTTATAAGGCATACAACCCGCCACAGTTTAGGATACTGAGGTGTATGCCTGGTCACATGTGGGACTGAAATTCATACTGCCTATTGGGCTGTGGTTTGAGAGGCTTGTAGCATTTGTCAAAATATCATAGTTCCTTTTGTTGGTGGGGCGCTGGTGGCGCATTGGTTAGTGCGCGCACCCCATGTATGAAGGCTGTAGTCCTCCAAGCGGGCGGGGCCCGGGTTCGAGTCCGACCTGTGGCTCCTTCCCCGCATGTCATTCCACACTCTCTCTCTCTCCCTGATTTCTGACTCCATCCACTGTCACATCTCTACAACAAAGGCACAAAACGCCCAAAAATAAATCTTTTGTTGGAACCTTTTAAGACTTTTGAAGATACATACTATTCTGAAGTGTGTGTGCTTACTATACTGTACACCCCCCTGCATATGTAAATGCCACAGTTAGGCCAACCTCGTCCAAAACAGTCTTGAAACACCACCTGTTGTAACTAACTGATTGACTTAACGTAATGTAAATCCCACTGAGAATCAACGTCAGGTTTCACTGTAATTAAAGATACTTATTGTTCAAAGCATATAAGTGCACATTTGTTAGTTTGGTTGGAAATACTTGGTCTAAAAGTAGTGGGGATTTACTCAGTAATACCTCATAAGAGCTTTTGTAGGCTGCTTTTGTAGTGCGTGACTGATATGATTTGTGATTATTTTGGGGGGCTTTTATGCCTTTATTTAGAGACAGGACAGTGAATAGAGGGGAGAGTTTGGGAATGACATGCAGCAAAGGAGCCACAGGTCGGACTGGAACCTGGGCTGCCTGCTTGGAGGCATGAGCCTCCAGACATGAGGCGCACACACTGACCACTAACACCGCCTTATTAATAAACAGCTTAATAGTAAATGTTTCCCAACAACAATGTCTCCAAATCCAACTTTTCCAAAGAGACTCATTTTTCTGTTTTTATACCATACGAAAGCTGAAAATGCAATGCATGCTGTAGAAATGCAAGCGCCCACAACCCTACAGCAACTTTAAATTGCCGTTAAGGACAAAATGACAGCGCTCAAAACGTCACACGAACAAGCAGAAACATTTTGCCCCCTCTAATTTGCGTGAAGTATGTGGCACTTTGAATGCAGTCATAACTCCACGATCAAAACATAATACCACAGGCAGACAGCTTATTAAGCTGAACATAAAGATCTCTGAATCTCACACTGTCATTATTACCAACTAACATTCGATCCAGCGGCTGAGACAAAAATACAACGAGATGAAAGATTATGGTGGTGGTGTAGCAAGCCTCGGTTCTCCAATGTAAAATTGTAATTACAGCATCCTCATCTTCTTTTTTCCTACACTCTGAGATGCCACAGAGAAATAAACAAGGTTAGAATATAATCTGTTGCTCTGAGGGTAATGAGTAATAACAATGCAGAGATCAGCAGTGGCATGTTCTGTTGCCATGGATACAAAAACAGATATTCTCCTCAATTTTATGACATTTTCTTTTCTCTGTCTCTCTCCCATGCACCCTCTTTGCCTCTGTTCACTGTGTTCTCGCACACAACACGATGACAGTTTGTCAAATAAAAAGCCTTCGTATCTCCCATTTAGTGGCACCTTCCAACAAACTGCCTTTTATAACATCCAAGTGGAAAAGATAAAGAAATAGGAAAGAAAAAAAATCACTCAGCAACGGGGTGTAACTACTGTCCACTTTCCTCGAGTGAATGCAGGCATTCCAAAATGTTAGGGATTGACTTGACTGAAAGCCCCCCTTTTACTTCATCCTTTTCCCCCCTTTTTCTTCTTTCCTTCTTTGCTTTCATCGCGTCAAGGCTTCCATTCTTTGCGACTCCCTCTCTATTCCAGACTCGGCTGCAGCCCTGCAGAGAGCTTAGTGGGTCCAAAAGTCATGCTGCTCGGTGACAAACAGCAGCTCTCTCTAGCTGGAGGTAAACCACACTTTGTGAGCCATCTTCTCCAATTGCAATGTTGTGTGGGACAACAAAAACTGTGAATTTTAGATTTAGCTTTAAATTTTTTGTGCATTGTGTCTTTGTGTTCAAAAAAGAGTTTGATGAAGGAATAAAATGAAGGTGAAGAAAGGTCAACCGGTTTCATGGGCGAAGGCCAACTGTGACAGTGTTCAGAGATTTTTTTTTTAATAGACATTCTGCAGAGACAGATTCCCGACCAGATACAAAGAACTACTCCCCTCTGTCAGCTGCTACTTCCTTAAAGTTCAAGTGACAGAAATAATTAAACCGTCCGTCAGGCACAGCTTCTTCCCTGACCGCCAATTCAAGTACCTTTTCACCCTCCAATTCCGTAGTTTTTTTTCATTTCCAACAGCCTTGTCACCTTCCCTCTTTTTTTTTTTTCAGCTTTGTAAGAGCTGCCATCAATAATCATTCCACACAAATCAAATGGCAAAATTATAATTTACTTGTTTTTTTTTTTGGTCCAAAACAACTTCCATTAGCACCTCCCAATTAAGTGCTCTCCAGCACTCCACATCACACTTAAGTACTCATTTCACTTTGCTCAGTGGCTACCCTGCAGGCAAACAAACTAATGGTGCACTGAGAGAATGCTGCAGGACAGGGATACAATCAAAATGTTTTCCTTTTCTCATTTCTACACTAACATTAATAAATAAGCGTATCCATGCATGAACAAAAAGAAGCAAATGGAAACGGCAGGGAGTAAGAACAAATCTTGATATAAGGCTTTGGGTTGAACCGGATGAATCCAAATGTGAAACTGAAACACTTCTATAGTTTTAGACTATAAAAAGTATTTCACTAGATAAGCTTAGGATAAAAGTTGCAATTTATACATTTTCAGTTTGTTGGAAAAACAAACAAAGAGAATATATGGTGTAAATAACTACATTTAAGAGTTGCTGGTACAGTAGGGGTAAGTTAAGAGCCAGGCTAGCAGTTTCCCTGCTTCTCGTCTTTGTAGTTAGCTTGGCTAGCCTAAAGCTAGCAAGCTGAGCTAGCTTTAAAGTAAGAGCCAATGCACTCAAGTGGTAATACCTTAGCTAATGTGAGGCAAGAGAATTAAACAGCTTACAAAAAAACATTAATTTCAATTAGACATGAAATTTTCCTAATAGTTAGCTTAGAGCTAGCAAAACTTGCTCCATCGTTATAGCCCAAACACTTTTCTCTTGTGTTAATTTTTGAGATTTGGAGAAGATGTTTTTCTTAAAACATAATTCTAATAATAAGACTATGGCTACCTGTATCACACTGCAGCCCAGACTTTATGCTAAGTTAATCAACTCTTGCACAGTTAACACATAGGCAAAACAATCTCTCACTTAAAATCTAAGCATATTTTTACAAATTAGATGATTGGGACCATTACTTACTAACATGTAAGAGTCAATCTTTTGGGGAGTAGATCATGGCAACATAGAAGGCTGACTATGGTAAATGTTTTACCATGAAAAAAACTGAAAAATAGCAATACAATATTTGTCAAACATTTACAAATCTGGTTTATTTAGTGATAGTGATCAGATTCAAAATGGATCAATTTCCATACGCCACTACCCAATGAACGCCCTCAAAATGTGGCCAGGCAAAGAGAGGTAGTAAAAAGACATTTCTGTTTGAAGAATGCTCAGCATGCCAAAAAAACAATTTATTTGTACAGAAAAAGTAGAAAATATGCTTTAAAGAAATACTCTAAACTTGCTCTTAAAGGCTTTGCGCACAAAACACACCACAGATTGGAGTCCTTCATATATTAGGTCTAGTTCACACATTGGCGCTTTGAAATGGCCACAATCGATACCCACTTTACAGAGACAGGGTCATTGGTTAAAACTGTATGAATAGTGTTTGTGTATTGGCACTTTAAATGTTAGTCTAAAAAGTGCTGTGAAGGTCAAAAAACTCTTCAGTCTCTTTCACCGTCTGCACTAAAAAGCAGGAGAAAAAAAAAAAAAAACATGCAATAAAAGAGATGCCTTTTGTTTTACAATGCTTTACACTCTCCTGACCTTACTTTTCTTGTCAACCAAATCATCGTGAATTGGACCGGCTGAGTTACCCAGGATGGATCAATGTGTTTTATATCTCTCTGGTAAATTGAACTTTAAGGCAAGAAAGGGGGGGGGGAGCTGGCCTACCTTGACATCCACATGGGCCATTAGGACGGCGAAATTGGTTAGATGGGTGCAGGAGCATGTGGTGTGAGTCCTGTTGGTGCCTAGCAAGCGACAGTCCTGCGTCGACCAGAAACCGGCCATGGTTCTCTTGGAGTAACTCCAAAAGGAACAGTTGGGGTTGAAGTTCTCCTCAGATTGCTGATAGAGGGCAAAAAATGCAGAAATAAATGAACAGAATTAAACACAATGGAACTTAAAAAATGAAGTACGCAGAGAGGTTTTGTGGTGATTTACCCATTAGCTGTTTATTTTTTATTCTCCTTTGTTTGCAGCATAAATACATCAAAAAGCTAATTTCTCCCGCGGCTATGGGCATCAATTTCGAAAGCGATTTGTTGTTTAACTATCATCCAGCATCGAGCGGCCTCATGCCTCTTTTTCATTGTGTGATTTGACCTTTCTCGTTAACTTTCCCTGCGTGTGAATGGTCTGCCCCACTGTTTAATGGGAGCCGCTGCTGTCAGCACCAGGGCGACGGCTCTAACGACGCGCACGCCTTCCCGCTATCCAGCTCGCCATTTTAGAAAAACAATAATCCACGACACTGAGAACGAGGCACAACAAAACGTCACTGCTGATAAAAAAAAAGATCCCTCTTGAGCTCAATTTCTTTTGTACGGCCCTGCAAACAAAGGAGATTACACACAGCTTCCAAGGTTAAACACGTCTTTTTCACTCGCTTTAAACACGAGAAGGAGCTGTAGTTCCTCATAGTTTCACACTCGCTGTAAGGTAATTAGCCTAATAAGGTTCATCCTCTGTGAATGCAAATTTGCAGCTGATTGACTTTCCCCTTCACACATCCAAAACCCTGTGTAAAATATCGCACAGCAAGGAGATAGGATGACCCTCCGTCCCATTAATGGCTTTAATTGGTCCCATTAAGTGGCGAGGCAAGGAAGCAAAACAATAACTAGAGGACACATCATCATCCCAGAAGACCAGTGATCCGAACCATCACGCTTGAGAGGAGGGAGTGATTGTGAGAAGACAGAAAACAAGAAACACTGTTTACCCTAATAGAGGTTCATTTTGAAGATGATGCTCTTATTCTTATTTGTAGTCAATCCATCAATCAATACATTTGATATATAACACCACTTACTTGAATGGTTTGAATATAAAGTTAAGGTTAGACGTAAGTCTATCGTTTGAGGATTCATTCTCACCAGTTTAGGTCTGGTAGTAACTCATTTTGTCTCTAATCTTTAAGATTGTATCATGATGACAGAAGCTAATGAAACTGTTACAAATATAATAATACATATCTAAATGATCTCTGTTAGCCTGGCTGCAGAGCTGCAAAGGTACCCAAGACTATTTGTTCCTATTGAAAAGGTGTAGAAGGCACAGAGACCATGCCAAAGTGCCTTCCTGTATTTTTATGGCATGATATCATTTATTATTTTCAGCTTTAAAATCAAAAAATCCAAACCAGGTCTGTATAATTATGGATAAAAAGACATTTTCCTGCTCATGACTCTACAATTAAGATGATCAGAATAATCAGAAAACATCTTTGGTTCAAATATATATATAAAATAAATGTAGTTGATAGTATAACATCAATTGAAAATGTTTCATTCCTGGAAAAAGAAAGGGAGAATGTTGTTCCCACAACGGCGCTTTGAAAGCAGAGACGAGCCAATCAGTGTTCCCTTAACAACACCTCTGATTGGTCGATCAGTTTACCAGAGAAAAGGGAGCTTTTGGTTTGATGGAGCAGAGCGAGGGCTCTTTATGCAAAACACCAGTAGGCTATTGCTCCCAATTCATTTAAGAAGCCTAATTCTATTTTTTATTCCAGAGTCCATAGTGCTGTTTTTTTTTTTTTTTTTTTTTTGTGTACTTAACTTTGATGTGATAAAATAGCTATCAAAGCGGTAGCTCTTCTGGTGCTCTCAAGGGTTAAAGCAGAAAGTAAAGCTTGTGCAGAAAACACTCTTATCCGAAAGGGCACTTTTTTATTGAGAAGACTTGATCTGAGCAAGAAAAGGGTATAAAAGAGTCAGTGCCCCAACATTAGACCAACAGTAAAATTACTGAATCCAAATGACTAATTTCACTTAAAACAGATGAGTCAGGCAGTGAGCAGCAATAACTGCGCTGACATCGCCCCCTGACATTTTCCAAGCATTTACTTTTTACATCTATGAGCTACCATACTTTTACTCGCTCTCCCTCTACGCTCTGTGTTTTTTTTTTTTTTTCATTTTCTGCCATTGTTGCATCCTTCCAGGTTCCTCCTCCTACACATGAGACCCCGCTGCAATTCTCTCATGGTTGTTCAACATCCCGATAATCGCTGAAGGTGCCGTTTGTAGACAAAACAGGGATATTTCGAGGGTGGTAGAGTGTGGAGAAGATAATGTAGTCAGGAGGGAGAAGTCGCGACTCCTGGCACTGACTAAGCAGCCTCCAGTGAGGCTCAATAGGACTGATGTTTGTTCAGGAGATCAGGCTGCTGTTTGTTCCGACTGAGAAACAAACACAAATCATCTGCGGCGTCACCTTGTGAGCATCATAATCTAATTTTTCCACATCTTTCTTTCAAAAAAACAACTTGATTTTCTTGCTTTGAGACGGGATTGGCACTTTTTTGGTTGCAATTCAGGGGAAGAGGAGATTTTGATGAAAGGGTTCGATCAAAGAAAATTCATTAAACAAAAAAAAAAAAATGACAGAAATTATATCAAAATGAAGGGGAGAGTCACATCAAAGGAGAAATCACAGCTCAGACAAAAGAGACAGAAAATTACCTGTAGGTGTCTGATGGTGAAAATGACAGGGTCAGAGAGGTAGACTTTGTTAGAGTCCTTGTTGATGGCAGCTGTGATCACTGGGGAGTTGACAATGACGGAGTAATTGGTCGCCATCGCTTCGCTGCCCAGTTTCATGCTGGCGTTCTCAGTGGAGAGGTAAACCCCGATGTGTTTGTACAGGACGAATGCTATCCTGATCTCACCTGCAAGACGGCAGTCAGGGAAAACGTTTTAGTTTCTCACAAGTGGAACTTTCAACTTTAAAGGCATCCGCAATAATACCACAGTTTGTAAAGAATTTTACACCAAGGTGGAGGATTTTCTTTCATTCAAACACAAGAATATATCAAAGGTATGTATATGTGAGGGAGTTCAAACTATTCCGAAAGGCGCGGCTGACTAGTGCAGCTTTTATAAAGAAAACTTGAGGTGCTTTAAGACAGGAGGTTGTTGATTCAGCCGTTGAAATGGACCAGAAGCAGCCAATATCCCTCCTGCCATTCATTTACATACAGAGAGAAGCAGCAGCAAACAAGTGCAACTTCAAAAGAGATGTTTTTATAGACCTGCCTTACAGCACAAGGTCACTGTGACCACGACAAGCTCAGTGTGACCTTCACACAGAAAACAGTCCTATTCAAAATGTTGCTGAAAAGCCGCAAGTCCACTTTTGTGTCACTGATTGCTTTAGGATTGAGATAACCCTCAAATGGAACGAGAAATATTCCCTTGCCTGTTGTTTTCCAGAGTAAAAGAACATGAAACTAAAAAATTCATGAAGTTTAGTATAAACCTAAAAATGAAAATAAACAGCCAATTAGTGTTGTTTTTCTCTCTACCTTTTTGCCATAGTAATACTTAAGATGTACTGTTACTCTTGAAAAGAATACTGGAAATAATTGCTCTGTTGAAGCTTTGTAGGCGAAGAAATCAGAAGCTGTATTAAACTGCCGAACAAGAAACCAATCTCAGGTCTGCCTCAAAAGTTTCAAAAGAAAAAAATGTCAAAAGTTAGTTCAATTCAATATTGAAAGATATTGAAATAATGTGTTTAGCTTTCTGACAAAGCCACAATGTTCTTTTTCTTGTAATGATTTCTCTCCTCCTCCTGTTGCCTCACTTTTCAGCAGAAAGCCCCCCCCCCCCGCCCGCCGAGTCTGAGATCGCTCACCCAGATAAAAAGAAAACTATTTGGGTGCTATAGCGCTGGATGACGGGGGCCGTGTTACAGTATAATGATCCGCCTGGGCCTGGCTGGACATGTTCTTAGTCATCCAGCTGAGAGGGAACGAGGCACAGCTTGAGTTGATTCTGATTTGCATGGGCTGATAATAAAGTCTAAAAATGGGGCTGAGGATGGCTATGCATTGTGTCTAACTGCCTCATTTACAGTTTAGAGGCAGTGCTCGAGTGGAACTAATTCTACAGCCAGGGTGCTATTTGAAAAGTGCAGAACGATTGGTGTGCTTAATGTGCAGCACAACCAAGGATTTGAGAAGCAAATTGAATGTTATTCACAGGCATCAGTAATGATATTCCTCCCAAAGAAATGACTGGAGCACCATGCAGTGTCACACTCATATATGGGGGAGGGCGGGGGGGAATTCTCAGAAAGTAAAGCAGAATTTCTACTATGGCCATATAACATTTAGATTTAAAAATCAGATAATTTACATTCAAACTGAATATTACACTGACTGAACACTGAAAAAAAAGAAAAAGATTTTTTGGTCTCACCGTTTCTTCCATGCTGCTTGAGCGTGTTCGCTGACAGGTGGATGGAGTTACCCTGTCCTCCAGTTTGTGGGAACTTCAGATCCGGCAAATTCCCCTCTGTGCTCATCCTCGCGACCTCCAGCTCTACACGGATAAAAAAAAAACAAAAAAAACAGAACAAGAAAGAAATAATCAATAATCAATAAGTTTGTTTTTGCACAGGCTGATAGACATAACGTGTTGCAATCTGCTGAATTGTTAACGCTGCACATCTTTTATTAAAAAAAGAAAAATGAAATCATCATTGTTGTTTCTTCACTGAATATTTATTCTGACTCTTTTTCTTGTTTTTTCTGCATCAGTATCAATATGTGTATGAAATGTTGGCTCACAGGCCGGGATGTTTAGGACAAAGAGCAATGAAGACATAGATGTGCTTTGTCTCTTCTGTATACCATGCAGTTATGTAAAATGTAAAAAACAAATGCACATGTTTTGTAAGGATAAAAACTGTTGCAGACATTGTTGTTAGCTGTCTGCAGTGGCTCAACAGTTTCTTATATTACGAGGAGTAGTTTTGTTTTTTAGGAATCCAAGCATGTGTGACAAGCTTTAAATGCAACATTGCCTTTACTGATTGCAGAGGAGGAGAGGTTAGATTGTTGCTACAGGCCTCTTAATCAAGTTACCGTCAAGTGTTCAGGTGGCATTGTTTCCTCTTCCGAACTGTAAAAACAAAAGGGGGCGTCTTTGCCCGTTGTGTGAAAAGATGCCTCGATTTGAGGGAATCTTTTTGTCTCGAGGAGCGTTGAGAGCGAGCCGCACAAAGACGAGATAAAGACCAGCTTGTAAAGACGAGCTCGCTGCTGCTGCTGCTGCTGCTGCTGCTGCTGCAGCTCAACAGCTGCTGTGTCTGAAGCAGGCTCCTAATTTACGGTTCAAAGACTCCAGCGTCATAAAGCAGAGGGAAATGAGCTGCTGATAGGAGCCTGGATGGAATAAAAAATAAAAAAGTAAAAAGCTCATTCCATCAACGTTATTATGGCAAGATACAATTGAGTTTAATAACGCAGTGGAGTGTGCTCTACTCTCAAGCACTGGTGACCTGTGTGAATACAGAAATGTCACACGAACTCTCAAAGCGCTGAGGAGAGTCCGTTGATTCACTGCCAGGTGGAGGTGCAGAGAAGAAGATGCACAAATGTCAAATTCCAAAAACAAAAGGTGAGAAGTACCCACTCATGTGGTTTGCAGATTTGAATAAACAAGCCGCTGCTATTGGCTTATCATCCTACTCGTCAGTTCAGATGGAACAGATGTAGTTTAGCTTGACAATGTATGTTATCTGATGACACATTCCATGTAATGTTCAACTATTATCAATATTTATTATCATTTGTGACATGGCTGTGTTAAATGCTGCTGCTGATATAGATGCTGCCCATGCTCAGTGTAATGGACTAATAATCAATCAGACAATTTCCAAACCAATACGTTGTGTCATCTTATTGATTTCTCAAAGCTCCTGTGAGCTGGTTATGCAACAGCTGAACTAAATGTGGATCTATTTGATCTAAAAAAAAATAATAATAATCCAACAAGGCTATTAGCGACAAGATGTCTCATTTCTATGTCGTAACATTTAGTGCTTTTAACCAGTGCTGGGGGTTAGGTGTCACACACAGTTGAGTTACGTTGTCCACAGGGTCGCCAAAATCTACACAACCCAAAGTCACTCACCGGAGCTCAAACTAAAAAAGCCTTCTAGTGAAGTGTGTCGATGTACACTGTTTTGTAAAGGTGCCACTTTTTGGATGCATGTTGATGTTATGGAAACGTGAAGCAGAGCTCTGAGCAAAGTTCCTGGGCTGTTGTGTGATTTTTTTTTGCGGTTCTCTAAATCTCACAGAACTGCTGTTTTTTGTTTGTTTGTTTTTTTCATCCCGATTCACAGAGCTTTTAGAAATCCATACCCTCAACATCCATTTCTGCCAAGACGTGTGCCGTTAGCTCCTTGGATCTTTCACAATTGACCTCTAAAAGGGATGAGGAGTCCTGCCATGTTTATCCCTCATTTGGACATCCTCTCCCTCAAAATGAAACTATTTGCTGCGCCTTGATGGAAGCGTCTCATATTGAAATGTAATTGAATTTTCTTCAAAATGACGACTAATAAAACTTTAGTCTCAGGCTATATCGATCGGTCCCAAACACGACCAGTCAATTCTAAACATCTACACCTATACATTTCAGGACACTACATTTGCCTTATCCATGCTCCAACACTTAGGGCCGTGCTTCCAAAGGCAACATGCAGGCAGATTAGCTTGTGGAGGAGAATTTCAACCTGAAAGACATTTTCATCACGTGTGGGAAACAGAAACGTGATTAAAGCCCTGCTGAGGCATTCAGCTGGTGATGTGATGTCTGCAGAGTATGACACCTCTGCCTTTGATAAAGGTTAGTGCCAATGGAAAGCTCAGAGAGGGCTACTTTTAATCCCCCCCCCTTTGTATCATACCAAGGCTTCCCATCTCTTAAAACAATACGAAATAAAAACCTCTGCATTAGGATTCTCTTGTGCTTTTTTTTTCTTTTTTTAAAGGCCAGGGGGTTTGGGTGATACATTCCCATTCAACTTAGCAAAGACAATATCCCAGCGAGCTCACCAATCCCAGGATTCTAGGCCCGCCTCTGGAATAAAGAAAGCATTTTTCTTCCCCCTCTCCGCCTGTCTTTCCCCCGTGTGGTTGTGTAAAAGAGCTTACCATGGGCTTTGGGGAATTTTTCTTTGATGCCATAGTAGTTGCTGGACCCAGAGGCTATACCTTCAAAGCCTGCCTAAATAACACGCTAATCGGTGGAAATCTGCTCATGAGATTATCATGCAGGGGGAGTGAGGCGCAGACAAAGCTGCTCGTCGAGCACTCGCGCTGCAACGTGTAAACACAAACACAGACACAATGGGCAAGGAAATATCTTTCAAAGCCAAGAAAATAGATCTCATTATGGGCTCGGAACGAGGCTTTTTTTTTTACTCTTCAGAGATGCACTTTAAAGCTGGCTCGCCCTGACATTGAGAAAGTGTCACCGGGTGGAATGCATGTAAAGCTATAGCCTGCACCTGCACACATAAAAAGCCTTAACTTAAAGGTGTAATTCAAGGGGAGTGATCAATAATTAGCAGCTGCGGTGATTACCAATGTTTAAACTGGGGGCCTCCTTGTCCTCATTTAACAACCCCGCATGGCGTGAGGGACTGGGTGGAAAAGAAACAGAGAGATAAGGCCTAGTAAACATGTCACCAGCCCATAATTAACCAGACTACCCCTATGTGCTATAAAATCTCACTCCAGTTGAGCAGACCCTCTCAAACGAGCCCAGAATCTACTTAATACCCTGATGAATTGTGTGCCAGATACAATAAAATCCTTTTTTTAATCATTCTCCTTACACTTGCCTTTAAGTCAGTAGACCTATATTTTTAGGTTGCCATGGTAACAGGAACTTGGGAAAAAAATCCCCCTTTTTATATAAGAGCACAGGGGGCCACTTTTTCTTTTTTTTTTCCTAATTCCCTTTGCGACTTCAGCCACTAATGGTTATTCAATTCGTTTTCATGCTTTCTGAATGCAATAAAATGTGACTTTTCTGATGCATCCAGTTTGTAAAATGATAGTTTGATGACAGAGGTTCCATTATCTCTGCTCACATGGTGTTTATACACACAATAATGAGCGCTGAGCCCTGATCTGTGCGACTAGTGGTTAATTCCGGCTAATAATCGACGTGAATATGAACACAATCATTTGAGATAATTGTCAATTTAGCAGCAGCCCGCCACCCGCAATAAGAATCACTGCCAAACTTAACCTCCTGTGAGAAGAGAAAGCGTTAATCCAGTGACCTTCACACCAGCGCCGCAGTCTCAGGAGCTCTGCTGTCAATACGAGAGTGCCCCCGATCAATAGCATGAGGTGAACTCTGTAACCCCCGTTCAACTGGTCGGACCGGTGAACGATGAAACACAAGAGAATAATGTCACAAGAAAACCTCACAACGACCATACACCACACATTCTGCTCTTCAAATGTTGCTTCTAATTCCCTAAATATCATAATTGACAATGCTGTGTTCCTCCAGCTGAGCAAATAATCAGTTTCCCAGCAGCTTGAGGAGAAATTAACTTAATTCAGTCCAAACTGGTTAACTCACGCAGACAAAAGACAAGCAAATTAAAAGTGTGCTTTGCTTTCTGGCAGACCCTTTTTATTGCTTTCACTTCAACAAAAAGAAAACAAACATTTAGCTATTTAAAGTCCTCTTCTACGACAAAAATGTGTGCTTATTGTTTAAACCTTCAGTGTTCAGACTGACATATACAGTGTGTAGAGCATGGCACCATTTCCTGACTGGAAGTGATCAAACAAGAGAACATTGGATTGTTTCTCATTTTTCCCCGATAACAATACTCGTTCCTGCTTCAGGCTTTGGTGAGCATGCTAAGCTACATGTAGCTCGTTCGAAAAGCAACCCTGGTTGTGGTTGTTGCAAACTTTCACGCACTTTCTGAACCTCCACCAATGTTTTTTTTATCAGTCCAAATTGAACCCTCACGACCCTGATGTTTGCGCGTTCCCTCTGAAAAGGCGAGTCTTGAGTGAGCACCCTGGAAAAGATTAGAAGGACTGCTTTGGAAAAGGACTAATATTATTAAGTGTAGAAAATCTCAAAGTGCTTCCTGAGGAAATGAAGATGAAGGAAATGAAAGATGAGAGAGGCCGACAATCGCAGTGAATATGGATATTTTTTTTTGCCCATTGGCTATATGCAACTAGGAGGTGGACGGTGTAGAAGTATACATCGTCCACTACATACTTGTTTCAATGAGTGAGCGGGGACTAAAGTCATAAGAAACATATTCAGTTAGGTAGGTTACCCTTGGCAAGGAAGTCCAAGAGGCATGTTTTGGATTGGCCAGAAAACTCCCCAAAGTAACCTCCATTGAGCAGTTTTAATAGAATCAAATGAAGCGCCATTGGCATATACTCACGGATGTTGTCGGTGTTTTCCTGCACTATGTCTGTCTTGAGCAGGTTATCGGCCAGCACAAAAGCGCCCTGCTCCACCGTATCCAGCAGCATGGTGGCCGCCCTCAGCTGCTCACCGGTGCTCAGCTCCCTCCACGCAGCCTGCGCATGCGGCTGCAACAGGTTGTTGACCGTCTCCACCATGGCCTTGGGAGGCAAAATCATGGATTTATTCAACAAGAAAGAAAGAATGGACCAAGGCCATGGGACGGCTGTTGTTTGACATGGTGAAGTAGAAACACAGTGACATGAATGGAGGAAGATCACAGACAGTTTGAAAATGGAAAACCAATCAAATGCTCCTCTTGGATTGGTCATAAAAGAAAGTGTTCCTGCTCTTTGCTGTGTAATTGTTTGACCCTATTCCAAATGTTTAAACCAGTTACGCATCTGGCCATGGATTGCAACCAGCAGCAGCAACACCTGAATCTGAAAGAACTTTGAATATGTTTTTGTTTCTGCTACTTTTTCGCCTACTTCAACTTATCATGTTAATGAATGAGAGCTACAAGGCTAGAGGCCAATCCTTACATGACTTAAGGCTATAGTCTTTAATTGGTGTGATTAATGTTCTTCCATGCAGACAATCCCAATGCACAAAAGCAGTAGAAAATAATAGCTCAACATTAAGTCATACCGTTGGAAGTGCAAGGTATTTGCCGCAACCTTCCTGCATATTAAAAGCACATTACAGCTAGTACGCCTTCTTTAATCCGCCCACAACAATGCTGAAACTTGTAAGCAAGGAGGAAACAAGAACATTTCCAGAGACAAGATGAAAAATTAGGAGCCATTAAAGATTTAAAAATGCCAATGGCAAGATGTATAAAAGGAATGCTAATTGGTCAAGGAAAGGATTTATTTCAGGAGCCAATGCTCCGAAGGGCGAAATAAGCCTGACTAACCTGAGCATGAAAAAAAAAAGAAGCTATTTCGAACCCAGTAGGTGGTCAGGATGATCATAAAAGTATGTTCTCTTGCTTGCTAAAAATAGAAAAAAATTCTCAAGTTCCAAAAAGGAAATCTTGCATCTGAGGTAAAATTGCTTCACACTTCTTCAAAAGCTGTTTTTGACGTACTTGTGACATCCTGAAGGTTGGAAGCTGTGATACAATCACAGAATGTCATGCCACAGATATCGCTCTGAACTTCACCTTGATCCCCTTTTTCAATCAATGGGTTACATGTGAATACGATTTCAAGCATGACACCAAATGTGTGCATGATAAACAGGCAAAGATCCCAAGATGAGTCGTGTGCTCTGATGGGTTGAATGATTTCCTGATCAGAAAAAGCACGAGAGTTATGGACCCCTCAATTAGCTTAAAATGTTAAGTTGTACTTTTGTTTTTCAATGCTGTGATAGGAAGAGGAGACGGCAGGACTGATTGTGTTCAGCTCACTGACGCTGGCTGAGAATTTCAAATAGCACCAGCTGGCTTTTCCTCATTCAAAACATACCCTGCACACATTAAACCGCCCACACACACACACAGAGTGAAAGACTGACGCAAGAGCGAACACACACCTCTGCACCTGCCAGTACACAGAAACACAGACAAAACTCCATGCACACACACACACACACACACAGGCAGTCTCCCAACTTTGATGTAATTATTCATTATCTGCAGCCAATCTCCAATCACACCTTTTGACATTCAGCCAGAGGCAGAGGTTGATTCACTCTCAATTAAGGCATTCTTTTTCTTCAGGCACTGACATTTCTCTTCCCTTTGTTCACCATGGAAAGATTTTTCTCCAGCACTTCTTAAAACACTGAAGTAATGGTTCTTAAGGGAAAGGATTGATGGATTTGCAGCTTTCTTTTTTTTCGCATGCAGGGGAGACAAGGTGGAGGCAAAGCAGCGGCATGGGTCATAATCTTTATGAGGAGGATACACAGAATGGATTATTAATAAACAAGTTGAATAAAATAACAGAGGGCATGGTGAAGAGTTATGCATTGGAATTAATATATGAATATAGATTAGTTTTCTTACTGGCCCTTAAGGCTTTTAAGTCTTTAGAATAACAGCAATAAAGCTGACTTTCACTCATGGTGCATCATTTAGTTATTCAAAAATGCATAATGCTAAACAAACTTACTTCATTCAAACCAACAATAATAATGTGATGACAAAAGTGTAGACAAGTCTTGATCTTGAGCATATGGGACCTAAACTAACGTTGTTGTTTTTTAGACTAAATAAGTGACAAATTCAACGAGCGACAAAACAACAAAACTCAACATCCGGTTGAATAACCTTTAATTCCTTTGTCCAGTAAAGTGCTTCCAAGACTGTTATTAACATTTTTGAAAAGTGAAACAATTTCAAAATGCCAAACTTCAAAAATAGCATTGCTGTTTTACGACCTCCAGTTTAAACGTATTCCTCTGTGTACAAATTCGATTTAAACGTTCAAACATGGAAGGAACAGTCATATTTGTAGAAATGATGTCGCTCGCCCTGTGGCAGGATGTAAGGCATGACAACTCTCACCCAACCTGTGTCAGAAGGGGCGTTTGAAAGCTACAGCTAGCAGTTGGTTAGCTTGGTTTAGTGCAATTTATTTTGCCACAGGTTAAACGAGCAATTCAGGACTTAGGGTAGCCAGTTAACTGGCGAGCTTTAATGGTAAAGGTAGAATCATGTAGACAAAGCCAGCTATACATTTCCCGTAGCTTCTAGTTTGTTTAGATGGTATGCAATGCTAAGCTAATAATGTCAGCAGGAAGAATAAGAAACTTAATCTAGCAGCCCCTTAGATTAGCACAGCACAATACTTCTAAAACAAAAGGTTATTTTAAGCTATTAGTTTTCAATTTTCAGCGATGGCGCCCTTGCCAAAATCATGTCAAATCTGTTTATTTACATGTTTGTGCAAATCAAACGCTGCTAAATCCCCTTCCTATTTTGTGTCAGAATATGTCTACTGACAGATTTTGCAGCCAAGGGTGGATGTAAAAAGTCCATCCAAAAAAATGCCATAATTGATTTTTGCATTGGTCCTGCCAACCCCCTCCTACGAAACGAAACCTGCAGGTACATTTTTGTCTCTCGTCTTGTCTACAACTAGGAAGCATTTGAAAGGCGAGCATTTGGGCAACATCATTCCCAAAAAAAAAATCACTGGTGCTGTCACATGAAGCGTGACCTGTCATTCTGGAGAAAAACATGTCACTCATCTCTTTCTTTTTTCCCCATGTAGGAAGTGACGGCCCGTGTCCTGGGCGATGTTTGAGGTCTTTAATAAAATCCCTCCCCATGTAAAATCCCATCCAACCCACGATTTAATGGAAAAAGACATCAAACCAAAGACAGAAAAGGCATCTAAAAGCCATTTTATGAGATCCTGAAGGTTAATGGATGGGTTTAGTTTAATCCAAGTGGACACATACACATCCAAAAAGCTCTTTAATGTAAGTGCTGGAGCAGGTGAAGTCTGGAATATATCGAGAGACTATAAACACACATGACAGCTCATGTTGACAGTGCTTTAGTTTAGTTCCCCAGTGAATTTTTTACTGCACACTTGGCTGCTGATAGCTAAAGTTTCCACTGAAGTTAGGTAATTGTTTGACTCTGTGGTAAATTTTCCTCTTGCTGATAAACAGATGAAAAGGGCTGATACTGTACACTCGTTTCTGTATGAGTAAAACTAGGCTAGGTTGTTTTAGCTTAGCATTAGAGCTGGAAACAAGGGGAAACAGCCGGCCTGACACTCTGTAATTATCTAAATCAATATAATTAACTTCTTACGCCAGCCTGTTGAATACAAAAAAAATAATAATTCTTGGCAACAGGCAGTGCATTTTTTTGAGTAATGTTGTTCATCCAACAATTCCATTAAGATAACAAGGTAATGATGATAAGGTTATGGATAGCAAGTGGATAATGCATGGGTGGCTGGTTGTTAATGGATAAATAATAACTTTAGTTAAGTTTATAATTCATTTAGAGAGGCTGATGTTTTTACATAAACCAGATTTCCATTCCTTTCTCTGCATCATGCAGAACCGTGCCTGTTTGTGTTCCTGCCATGTAATCCGTCCCCATATGGAGAATCTTGTATCTCTATGTTTTTCATGCACAGAGCAGGATAATTGCATTTTGAAAAACGCTTGGGCTCATTCTGCAAAAATGTATGGGATCAGTGCACGGAGGAAAGCATCGTTTCCAGACTTTGTGGTGAAAGAGCAGAGCGAGGAAGGAGAGGGATGGGGGGGGGGGGGCAGCAGCAGCACACCAGGACCATCATCATAGTCTGTGCAGTCGAGTCGATCTGCTATTTTACTGCTATTAGCGCACTGCCACTCCATCTGTCAAATGTAGCGGCTCACTCCGCTGCTGCAAAATCCCATTCATTTTTTCAGCTCTTTTATTTCCTTGCACTTAAAAAGTAAACGGGCATATATATATTAAAAAAAAAAAGAAAAAAAAAGACATTCTACTCTCTGGCACATGGGGGAAATGCTAATCATTAACCAGACTCACTTCTGGAATGTTCCACCAGGAACAAGGATGATGACCGGGTGTGAAAAGCTGCAGTGCACAGGCCATTTAAACCAATACAGGAGGAAGGAAGGGAGACGTGGACATTAGCATGCTTTTGGCAGGAGTCCAAGCTAACCCATGGTGTGTGTGTGTGTGTGTGTGTGTGCTTCTTTCTGTGTGCTGATTGATGAAATAAACTCTGGGTCTGGGAAATTGATTCTGGCTGAGGCTGATCTCCCTCTCGTCCCTCTCTGGTGTGCAATTCTCCCCAGTCCTCCCTTTTCCTGCTCGCAAGTTGGTTCCTCCTCGCTTGTTTTTCTCGCACTGGCGTTAAGGATGATCACAAAAAAAAAAAAAACCCCACAAGAGGCGGGGAAGGGGAGGACGACGACAAAAAAGGTGGGATATCTTGATCTCGCTGTCCTCCTCTGTCCCTATAAAGGACTCTTTGCACAGGTGACGCTCTTGCAACATTTCTGCTTTTCACTCACTGAGTTTCATTTCACCTGCTTTTAAAAATCATCACCTGTCTTCTCTGACAATCTCTGCAAACTTCCACTTTAATATTTTATAAAACTCTGTAGTCAGGCAGGGATTACCTGCGTGTGTTTGTTTCTGTCTTTAGTTTAACCTTACTGTTGTACAATTCCAAAACATCCCTTTATTCCCCTTGACTGCAGAGACAGGCAGATTCCCATTTGAAATACTCTGATATCAGAGACAAGTAACATTCGTTTATAATATCATTTTCTGTTTTTACTGTTGATCTAGATCAGTGAGACGGATCTAATGTGTTTCATCCCATATAACATGAAGCTAATGCTAACGACACAACGGTAAATTCCACTAAATGGATCCAGATTCTTCCACATTCTCTACACACCTTTGTTCAGGCAAAGCTCTGCAATTCAGGTCCACTTGAGGCGGTCCCTGTTTATAAGCATCTGGTTATCTTCATCCTTCAACAAATTGACTACCAGAGAAATTTTTATCATCTCATTACATCCCCGAACGAGGAGCCTCCCTGCGTTCTGCCTGCTCTAAGGTCATCCTGCGCTGCGACACTCCCCCTAGTCATCCTCGCTGTCTAAGGTGTCATTTTAATGAGGGGTCGGAGCGCAATATCCTCCCTGTGTGCTGCATATTCACACTCCACGGCCCCTACTTAGGCACGAGATATCATTTGATGTGTTGAAATGGCTTTATTCATGTCTGGATTTACTGCAAATGCCACTTCTCTGACTTACTTTTAGACTAAAATGCCGCAGGACAAAGCATTTCCAACAACAAAAGAACATAATCACAATAATTGGCGAGCATATTTCTGTTCCATATGAAAAAGCTGCTGTTAAATTGACCAAAAGGCATCGGAGGTAGGCTTCTATTTTTATCACATGTGCTCCAAATCCAAAGGCAAACAACAAAGACACATCCCTGCAAGGGCAATGGAGAACATAGGGAGTGGATCATTACACGTTTTGTAGCACTATCAAGGCTAACTCCCAATTTTGCTGGGATTAAATTTGATATGACACTTGGCAGTATGGGTAATTATGAGAACAAAAAACAGGAAGTTTCAAAAGTAATCATTGTAAATTATTGTTTCATCTGCGTAGAATCAACACAGGAGGGACATACTTCATGTAAATGCCACCACAAATTAAGTTCCTCGTGTTGAAACTCGCTGATCATGCTAACAAGATTAAGACCTCCCTTGCAGGCAAATTCAAGTGTTAGTTTACCACTTAAACCTGATAAAAATCCCTCCTCATTTCATTAAGAAACCAAACTCATGCCGTGTACAGTATGTCCTCCTCGCACACCTGCACGCACACAATCTCCCAGGGTACTGTCTGTTTTCAGCAGCGTGCACAGGGACAGCAGAGGCAGGTGCGCCTCATATTAGCTTTGTATTCCTCTGCTAATCCCACTTATGTCGACCACCAGGGCCCTGTTGGAGAAAAACATCGCCCAAATTTCCCTAATCAATGAAAGTCCCTCAAAGGCTGTGTGGCACATGCAGTCAATGCCTGTGTTTACCTAAGGCCACAGATGTTTCTCCATTATTCTGCTTCGTCAAGTGAAAGCTCTTCGGTGTTGTTTGCGCTCCTCAAATAAGCGAGGGGATGGAGCAGGAGAGGAGATGCATGGCTGAGTATTGTGTACAGTCATGTACGGAGTACAAGACACCCTCAGAGTGCATGCTGAAATATGGAAATATGGACCCCGCAGAGTGTTGGCAAGGACACAAACAACATTTTTTACTTCACTTCTTTATTTGTACTCTAAAACTGTCTATATCTGTCCATAAATCCCTCCGTTTCATCTATAACACAGGGATATTTGTGCAGGTCTTTATGATAGAATGAAATCCATAACTGTAAGCGTTGACAATCTGTTTGTTATTTTTATGATTAATTGTGATACTGCAAAGTCTTCTGTTGAATAATCCAAATCTTCTCGTACTTCGACGTCTTTCTTTTAAATATTAATGACGTTCCTGTCACGCAGAGCTCTAATGTGTTTTTTAGTTTTAAAACTGGGGTAAGCATCTTTTTGGGGCGGAACTTGCAAGAGTAAGCTTTTGGAAGTGTCGTACTGCAAAAAATGTCACGGCCACTCTCTAACACGCGGACATGAACAAGTTCAAAGAATGCACTGGAGATGACCATTCTCCATCATTCTTCTGCAATAAAGTTGACTTCATTTAGCTCTTGAGAATTGTGGCTCGTTGCAAGAAATAAGCCATAAAGAGTTTCTCAAACAAATTGCCGACCCTAGCATAAAAAAAAACAAAAAACGACAACATTTGTTAGCATCTACCAAAACTAAACTCAATTGGTTAGCAAGTTATACACCATATGCTACACTTAGGGATAGGATGCTTCGATTCTGCTGTCAAAAGGATCTCGTCAGACTTCTGTGTTCAAGGTTGCAAGTAGTATAAAGAGAGTGACGCCTGGAAGCTAGCTCAGACAGGCAACTTGAGCTGCACTGCGGCACGCCAGCAATGGCAATGAACATTTCAAACCAAGTGTGAGTTGTCACACTGAAATGTGATAAATCTGACAAATTGTTAAGATTTCACCAATCCTAAGGTGATTGAGACGACAATGGATAGTAAAAAAATCCAAAAAGGACACCTGGACAAACCATTAGACAACAGCTGAAGTTAGCTCTCAGTAACTAGCTCGCTAACATGACCAATTGGTAGAGTGACACTACACAAGAGAATAAAGTTTGTGACTTGTGTTTAATAATCATTATTTTCATTGGTTTTGTTATTTTAACATGTGACACTTTAAATCACTAAATGAAGCCAGGAAGTGGTTGAATGATGTCATTAGCTGTTGTGTAACAGTATCTCAAGGCTTGTTTCACCTTGAGTTTTACCCTCCCGTTCATTGTCTTTTATTTCGGTTGCAAGTCAATTAATGATGAGCGAATTGACAGAGATTCACGAGCTGTCCAACTTTATTACAACTTGCAACCTGGAACACAGCAGAATATTTTAACAGCACCTGAACGTCCCACCTTTGGCCTGAAATCAGTGGAAAATGTTTACCCTTTATTTAACTCAAAGCACTGCTAGTAAGACTGTGGCCTTGGTTAAACATAACATTTTATTGAACACACTTTGGTTCTGATTCCTAACCAAAGACATGTTTTACTTTCTTAAAGTAAACAGCTTTTCTTCAAATCCGGGACTTGTAGTTCTCAGAACAATTAATAAGGTTGAAAACAATAATATACATGTGGGCAAGTGAGATTCTATGACATCATTGGTCAACAATGGAAGTCTATCGGATGTATGATGTGTTTTCTTCCAGCCTCTGGTCTTCCTTTAGGCATCTCACATAAAAAAAAAAAAAAAAAAAAAAAAAAAAACATCTGCAAATGTGAGCCGACTCTCAGCAGACGCAAACACGCTCACCACTTGGAAGTCATTTGCACAATCACATAACTATACATAGTTAAGTGCCTGCTGACGCTGCCTCAGAGGACTCAGACAGAATATGTGTTGCCTAACATGAAGCGCCACAGAGCATACACACAAAACAACATCTGTCTCTAATGTGCAGCTTTACTGGAGTCATCCGTATGGAAGACGGGGATGTCAACTTCTTCCACGTTTCTCTTGTCAAGGCAGAAATGATTCTGATGACAGCTCAAATGTCACCCGAGGGCTGACAAAATCAGCCAGTGGCCCGAAAAATAGCTGACTGAAGCGATGGAGACCCCCCCCTTTAAATTGGGACACATATGTATTATGCATCAGGGAGAGTTATAACATGCAATGACTTTGGCTGACTTAGTTGACTTGCTGGTATAATGAGGTCACTTCTTTTGGCCCTTCAGTATTTGCTGAGAAAAGTAGGAGTGCTTAACACGCCTGAGAGCTTCTTTTTTTTGACTGATGCTGTCCACTTATGTTCGCTGAAAGTAGTGCTGATGGGGTGCTTTGAGGGAATATTTAAAATGATTGAGAAATCTGGGAAATCCACCCAGATGTTAGGCATTTTAAAGTTCAGAGATGTATATCCTCATGCTCAGCACATTAGAGAAAGAGGGAAGAATATTACAAAATACAGTGTTCATGCAGGGAAAATGATGAAACATGACTCAGACATTTAGGGACTATCATATTAATGTGGATGCAACAGTTATGATGTGAAACTTGTGAAATTTGACCCTTTGATTTATTTCAAAATGCTAAGAAATTAACAAGTGGACTTACTTTAAAAACTACATCTCTGTGATTCAATTCTTTTCATGTTCTTTGCAGGTCAAAAGGTCAAACTTCTAAATGGTTTGTTTGAAATGAAAATGACAGCAAAGTCGCTGCAAAAATGACAAATAAAAAAAAGGGTGGAATGGAAAGAGTGGGGGAAAATTTGATCCAAATACCTGAACATAAAACCGGCAAGAGCGCTCTCTTTTCTGTAGCTGCAACCCAAAGAGAATGCAAGAGTTAGAGGAAGGTCAACAACTCACAACGGCTCTACTTGGAAGTACATTTCTGCTTGAAGTAAAGATTTGACAGAAGAAAGACAAAACAAGACACTCACTTAACAAAACGTACGAAAGGTAATGTTAATTATACTCTATCATGGGAAAACCGCACAGAAGCTTAAGTTCACAATGAGACAATACAAAAGAGACTAGAACTGTGACACTGTAATGGTAGTTCAAGGTGATCATTTTATCTTTTCATTGGAGATATTCATGTGAGAACTAAGGACAGCTATTCACTCTTTGAGCCTGTGCCTACATTTTTTAGCATACCTGCTAAATGAAAGGCTCAAAGAAATACTGTGAGCACTGCAAGGAAAGAGAACATTTCTATTGAATTCTGATAGCGAACAGAGCTAACAGCTAGCTTCTACAATCCTCTTGTAATAACAACAACAGCATTGGGATGCTGAGAGTAGGTAAGCGTTTATTCAACAAGTGCTCGAGTACTCTAGTAATATTAACCATCCGTAGTGCAGTGTGTTTCAATGCTTTGCAAATCTCTTTTACATTTCAGTGTCCCGACGTTTGGTGGAAACAGGCCTTGTATGTTAAATCCCATGCAGACGATTGCCAGAGCCACTTGCTTGACAGCATAGCCTGATCTTCTGGAAGGGTCCCGTCTGTAAAGTTAGCCAACAACCCTCTCGATCATAAATATGACACTGACGTCGCCGCTCTGCCAACTCGATCCTCTCACTGTCTGCTGGCTGAAGGCATTGTGCTTCACTGTCAGAAGAATGATCTTCAACACTCTCAGCCCCTTTGAAGATCGTGTCAAATTGACTGAGCGCAAACATCAACCGCTGCGAGAGAAGAAATGCAACATTCTGCCGATTCGAGTTGTTATTGACAAAGCTGTGAGGCCCTTTTTTTTTCTCATAAATACAAGAACAATGGTTTTTATATAAGACAGAGGATTCTATCATAGGTAAGCCTCTGACCTCTTAAAGAAATTATCCACCTTTTAAAAGGCTTTTTCATTCCCTCCGTCCAGATGTTTTTACCCCATTTCCTCTTCTTTACAAGAGAAACTTAAGACTACAACAGTTATCTCTACGGCAGCAGTGTCGCCTTACTTGAATGCTGTTCTTTTATGAGAAACCTTCTTTTCAAGAGGCGTTATAAACTCTAGTTGCTCCTCAATGTGAATTTACTCATAGCGTTCCCTTCTGAGGCCCTTTGGCCATCTTTACTGCCTCCCCTCTCCATTGGAGGAAACTGGCACTAAAATCTCAATGGGGACATCTGTGTCTGTTGCGGGCAATGAAATAAAAATCCGTCTCGGGGAAAAAAAAAAAAAAGAAGCTATCTGGGAACAGGTGTTCGTATTCCTCGACAAGTGAAGCCGCTCCAGCAAATTAACGAGCGACATTTTGGATTTCACTGATGTTTGCTTTTCTGTTGGCTGCTCAGCACACAGAAATTATTATTTTAGCTCGCTCCGCCTGAGTGCCCCGCGTCGCTCACTGCAGTGGATTGGGAAATAAATGCATTAGCTTCAGGTTCAGCTAAAATGAGAAACTGTGCACTCCCACAGCTCGGATCCCACCAGCTGAAATCTTAGCCTGTCCCATTAGTGGAAATCAAATGGTGCAAATTTAGTCCTTTTGACAAGCATTGCTATATTGATAACATCTTTTTGAACTAATCAAAGTGAAACTGATAGCATAAAACATGATACTGGAGGTAGAGATGCGCTTGAGCGTCCGCTGAAATTGAAGGCATGTTTTTGAGTTCATTGGCCCCCGTCGGCAAAATAATAGATATTATTTTATCTGACAGCACAGGGCCAAATCGCAGATCATTAAAATAATACCTACTGTTCAGCTTTTGACTAAGGTGAAGTTCTCGAGAAAGTGGGCCTCCTATTTGGGGAATTTAGAGAGGTTAAGAAGCTTGAACGAAGTTTTT